GTCAAAGTTGTAGGTATGGGTAAACTATATATTTTCAAAATCTGTATGCCTGGACGAGTCCAGGAAACACAAATACAGTCGTCCCTCTCTAATCCGGCACCTTTTGCAACGGCATTTTCTGCTGGATAAACAAGGGTGCTGGATTATCAAATCCTGCCCTCCAACCCGGCCCACCTGTTAGCATACATGTTTTTGTCGTACATCAAAACGTAGGGATTTTCTGTCAATCCAAGTACCGGTACTTCGTGGAATACATGTCTTTAACATACACTTGGTGATGTCCCTTGCACTGGCATAGGATATTCCCAAGTGTATGTTACATCTGTTGTGTATGTTACAATGCTCCCTGACAGTGTGCGATGCACAACTGCTGGATTATTAGAAAATCGAATTATGTACAGTTTGAGAGATTTGTTGCAGAAAATCGCTGCTGGAGGCGGAATTCAAGTGCCGGATTAAAGCGTAGAAAATGAACTGAAAAAAATCCGTTTTGCCAGAAAGTGTGCTGGTTTGCAAGGGTGCTGGATAAACAAGTGCCGGATTAGAGAGGGACGACTGTATGACTATGTCCAGGCAAGGGTATGACCCTTGTTGAGAGAAAATACAATTGCGAACAAAAAACACAAAAATCACAGCACAAAGTGCATACCAAGTTCGTGATGGGGCTGAAGTCCTATGATAAACAATCAGGTAAACGCTACGTCTTGGTGAAGAACATATGCTCCTAATTCCGTCCTTGAACTCCAATACCTCGCCATCGGCGATGCACCAGCAGAAACAGTTCTACAATATCACAATTTTGGTTCGTTCACCTCAGCGCCGCATGCCGTGATTCTCACGGCCAGGCGAATCAGCTGATCGCACCTGACAAGTCTTTGTAAGAGTTGCTGTTGCTGTGCTTCCTCGCTGTTTGGTAAATTTGATTTCTTCATTCGGGGACGATTTATTTGAGCTAGGAGGACTCAATGGAGCTCTCTTTCTCACCACATTACACTGGAAATACTCCAGGGACATCCAGCCTAGACTGGTGCCGTCAGTGTCCTCAGAAAGCTTTTCTGACACGGCCTCAAGAGATGCACTCCCATTCTCGAAATGCGCGCATGGCGGATGGTTGTCTTTTCCAATTTCACCAGACTTCAGTCGATCGATACTGCAAAAATGTGTATGGTAAGTATGGTTGTTTTTTACACCGTTGGGAAGCCTTGGACCTCAGCTACGCATGGAGCACCATTTTAGTTGTCTCCTAGCAACAAAACTCACTGAAAATGCGATTTTACTGTAAGGGTCACATACGACCCTTACGCTTATGTGAGACCCATAAAGGGTTTAATCATGCACCTGCTTTCAGGCGTGAAACCCCTGTTGTAGAGGTCTCAGTCCTCATTTGTTAGACTTACCTGTCTTTATAAATGTAACTTACTCTCTCTCTCCCTCTCTCTCTCTCTCTCTCTCTCTCCCTCTCTCTCTCTCTCTGAAAACTGTGCATGTATTCTGTTGTGTTGCAGGAGAATGACTTCGCAAAGCTTGTTCCGTATGTAGAAGAGTGGCTTTTCAGCAGTCGAGTCAAGGACTTGCCGCCATGGCTGTTTGCTAAGCTCGCTCTCGCACCAGCTCACAGCTTCTCGCAGCGGCAGCTGTCCGTCGGTGTTCTCTGTCAGTACCTTGATGGCACTGTATTGGAGACCATGCCACTGCGCAACTGTCTAATTGCTGCCTGTGAGCTGCTTGGTCCTGGTAACCCCAAAGAGGTGAGTGCAGTGCCCTCCTGGCCTCCTGATTCATTCCCCAATCTCCGCTTCTCCGTCCTTGGCCTTCCCGATCTCTCTCCCTCTCCCTCGCCCCCTCTCTCCCTCCCTCACCCCCTCCCCCCCCCCCTCTCTCTCTCTCTCTTTCTTCCCCTAAAGAGATGTTCTGTTGGTATGGCCTTGTGGCGGATGTCTTTCTCCTGTATTCGAAAGTGCTTGGCACACTGGCAGTGCACAGCAGCTGTGAGTGTGCGTGTGTGTGTGTGCACGTGTGCGCCCGTGCGAGCGTGTGTGTGTGGGGGGGGGGGGGGGGGGGTGTTTGTTTGCCTGTAAGATTAGGCAGGATCCTGAGAAATAAAGAGATCAGTAGACCCAGGTGCTCGAAGTCCGGACATGGTATCCTAAGTCCGTACACCCATAATTTCATGTTCTGTTATTGTATTCGACTCAAATATTTTATCGAGGGGACATTGTGGTATGTTCTCCTGGCACACCAATTTTCAGGGATCTACGATAAGCAGAAGTCCCATACCGCGCAAGTGGGTTTTCGAATGACCATACGAAATACAAATTGGGTTACGTTTCATGCAAAAATCAACTTTTCCACGACCGATTTCGAACGGACGCATCGTCAAACAGACCTTCACTCAATCATCAAGAGCCAGCTTAGAGCTGAGAATGGCCAGAGGAGAAGAATTTACAGAGAGCCACCAATCCTTGCAGAAAGGTTGGCACTCCTGGCATCTCCACCACTGTTTTCCCTGCGGTTTTCACAGCGCAACTGCTTCTTCTCTGAGCCAACCAAAAACAGCTTGCCTTTCAGAAACAAACTACACTTTTGCAAGGAATACTGGTGGAGGCACATGCCAAACATATTGCTTCGGTACTTTCGTCGTAACCTAGCGATAGCAAGTTAGCAATTTCCAGAAATATGTGTGTATTTCGAGTCACCTCTGAGCTGTACGGACTTAGAGCACCCTCTGCGACACCAAACTTTGATATGAAAAATCAACGAACTCCAGAGAAACAGATCGGATCGAAGGATGGCCTGGTTCCATCGAGCCTGGCCTCAAAACAAACTTAGACAAGATGCCTTCCATCCACGAGCAGGATTCTGGCAAGTAATCATTGCTAGTGTGAGTTTCAGCTCGGCAAACACACACTGTAAAAGTGTCCGGACTTTGAGCACGTGGGTCTACCCAGTAGGCTAGGCACACTTCTCAAAACAGTGCACGATACCCGGACTTCCACTGCTCACACAGCGCTCAATACCTGCTCTTCCACTGCTCGCAAGCAGGGAGTCGTGAAAGCGTTCACGACCCCCTGCTCAAGACAGTGCTCAATGCCCGCGGGCAGAGCTTTCCAACACAGAAGTCAGAATAGTTTGTTGCAACTCCGTGTAGTTACGTGTTTGATGACTGCGCGGTGTGAAGTGTGGAGTTGCAACTCACCCTCCTGACTTCTGTGTCATAGAGAACAGCATGGTAAGCCCAGGGTACTTTATGTGGTGAAGTCCCCCACCCCCACCCCACTGTATGCCCAGGGTACTTATATGGTGAAGTCACCCCCCACCCCGCTGTACGCCCAGGGTACTTTATATGGTGAAGTCACGCCCCCCCCCCCCCCCCCCCCCCATCCACCCCGCTGTACGCCCAGGGTACTTTATATGGTGAAGTCACGCCCCCCCCCCCCCACCCACCCCGCTGTACGCCCAGGGTACTTTATATGGTGAAGTCACGCCCAGGGTACTTTATATGGTGAAGTCACGCCCAGGGTACTTTATATGGTGAAGTCACGCCCAGGGTACTTTATATGGTGAAGTCACGCCCCCCCCCCCCCCCCCCCCCCCACCCACCCACCCCGCTGTACGCCCAGGGTACTTTATATGGTGAAGTCACGCCCAGGGTACTTTATATGGTGAAGTCATGCCCACCACCCCACCCCGCTGTACAAAAGAAGTAGCTGCTCGTGCGTGGAGGACAATTGATAAATTAATTTTGAACTCACTCGACCTTGCTTTTCTGTGTGCCTGTCTATTGTCAGTATTTTGTGACGCCAGCAACCCGCTGGCATTCATGGCGTTTTGATGCGTGCGTGTTTGTGACCGGTGCCGTCCACTAATGGTAACTCTGCTTCCTGTAATGGCAGTGCGCTTGTGGGAATGTGTTTGTCTTCGTGTTATTCTACTCTGCAGGCGTCGGAGGCCGTGCAAACGTTTGCGGAGACGTTGAAAAAGACTATTTTGCGCAAGGCCGTGGACGGGTACAGCTGGGAAAACCTGCACCCGTTCCCGGCGGAAAGTGCTAAGCATCTCTCCGGCCTGCTGTCGTGGTACGAAGCCCAGCCCGTGCTCACGCAGCTCTGCCGTGACGCGCACGTAGCGTCTGGACAGGAGCGGGCAGGGTCCGGCGTCGCATCGGCCTCTGGTCCCGATTCTCAGCACGCCAACCTCGGCCCGGCTACGCAGGCGTACGTGTCCAGCAGTGACGCAGCTGCGGCAACTGCTGCTGCAGCCGGTCAAGTCCAGGCGCAGGCGTATGCGCTCGCCCAGGCGCAGGCTTACGCCCTCGGTCAAGCCCAGGCCCAGGCTCTTGCTCAGCAGGGCCACACATGGCACTGGTATCAGCATCAAGAGCAACAGCAACAGCAGCAGCAGAACCGACACACCCAGCATGGCCAGCACCATCCACCGGCCGCATTCTCCCCTGATACTGTATCCAGTAGTGTGCGACGGGTAGAGGAGCGAGCTGAGCATCTGACAGATTTAGTTCGCGGTTTCAAGCACGACGTGATCATGGCCCGTAGAACGCAGCGAGATGACTTGAATGCATTGTCACACCAGCTGATTTCAGAACAACGACGTCACCAGGAGACCCTCTTCAAGCAATTAAGCACGGTTGTCACTGAAAGCAGGTCAGTGTCGCCCGGTCATCTGGAGCCTCTGCTTGCGGCAACGCGGTCAGTGACGGAACGTGTGCGGCACGTTGAGCAGTGCTTGCATCAACTGCATACCGTCCAGCAGCAGCAGCAACAGGCACAGGTGTCTGCCTTGGCGCAGATCACACGCTGTGCCGCGGTCGTGCAGCAGCAGTCTCAACAGCTGCAACAGCGGCAGCAGCAGCATGAGCAGCAACAGCAACAGTGGCAGCGACAACTGCAACAGAAGCAGCAGCAGTATGAACAGCAGCGTGTGCAGCAGCAGCAAGAACTGCAGCAGGCACATGCATCCTCATTAGATCAGGTCAAAGTATATTTGAAGAAGCAGTTTGATCATCAGCTAATAAGGCAGAAACAAGAAGGGGAAAAGCAGCAGCAACAACAGCAAGAGGCTCAGTTCGCTGCACTGGCTCAGGTCCGGACTTGTGCACAGCAGCTGACACAGCAAACTCAGCAACAGCAGCAGCAGCAACAGGCACAGGCGTCTGCTGTGGCTCAGATCACACGTTGTGCTACGGCTATCCAGCAGCAGTCTCAGCAGCTGCAACAGCGGCAGCAGCATGAGCAGCATCAACAGCAGCGGCAGCGAGAACTGCAACGAGCGCATGCATCCTCATTAGATCAGGTCAAAGTTGATTCTCAGCTTTTGAAGAAGCAGCTTCATCAACTGCAACTAAAGCAGAAACTAGAAGAGGAAAAGCAGCAACAGCAACCGCTGCACCAGAAGCAGCAGCAGTATGAGCAGCAGCTTGTGCAGCGGCAGCAAGAACTGCAACGGGCACATGCGACCTCATTAGATCAGGTCAAAGTTGATTCTCAGCTTTTGAAGAAGCAGCTTCCTCAACTGCAACTAATCCAGAAACAAGGAGAGGAAAAGCAGCAGCAGCAGCAACAGCAAGAGGCTCTGGTCGCTACACTGGCTCAGGTCCGGACTTGTGCACAGCAGCTGACACAGAAGCAGCAGCAGCAGCAGGTAAAAGATCACTTTTTATCTTTTTGGCAATTTAGCCAGCGTGGTGATAAATCATCGATACCTCAGCGCACAGGGGCACCACCGACGCCTCAGCGCACAGTGTCATCACTAATGCCTCAGCGTACAGAGGCACCACCGATGCCTCAGCGCACAGAGGCACCATCAATACCTCAGCACACAGAGGCATCATCAATACCTCGGCACACAGAGGCATCATCAATGCCTCAGCGTACAGAGGCGCCACCAATGCCTCAGCGTACAGAGGCACCACCAATGCCTCAGCGTACAGTGGCACCACTGGTACCTCAGTACACAGTGGCACCACCAACGCCTCAGCGTCCAGAGGCACCACCGATGCCTCAGCACACAAGGGCACCACCAACGCCTCAGCATACCGTGTCTGTGCCAATGCCTCAGCGTACAGAGGCACCACCAATGCCTCAGCGTACAGTGGCACCACTGGTACCTCAGCACACAGGGGCACCACCAACGCCTCAGCATACCGTGTCTGTGCCAATGCCTCAGCGTACAGAGGCACCACCAATGCCTCAGCGTACAGAGGCACCACCAATGCCTCAGCGTACAGTGGCACCACTGGTACCTCAGTACACAGTGGTACCACCAATGCCTCAGCGTGCAGTGGTACCACCGATGCCTCAGCACACAGTGGCTCCGTCAATGCCTCAGCGTACAATGGCACTACCAATGCCTCAGCGTGCAGTGGCACCACCGATGCCTCAGCACACACTGGCTCCATCAATGCCTCAGCGTACAGTGGCACCACCAATGCCGTGGCACACAGTGGCACCACCAATGCTTCAGCGTACAGTGGCACCACCAATACCTCCGCGCACAGTGTCACCACCAATGCCTCGGCACACAGTGGCACCACCAATGCCTCATAGAACAGTGGCACCACCAATGCCTCAGCACACAGTGGCACCACCAATCCCTCATAGAACAGTGGCACCACCGATGCCTCCGCATACACCACTGGTATCTCAGCGTGCAGTGGCACCACCAATGCCTCAGCACACTGTGTCTGTGCCAATGCCGCAGCCATTATCACAGGCACTGCCACCAGCCCACCAGCTGTCACAGAGAAGCTCTAGGCCGACTCAACATCCCGAACTGCCTGGAGCGTTGGTTGCTAAGGCGTTTTCACCACCAAAGCTGCCGCCCCCGTCCCCACTGCTGCCGAAAGCAGCATCACAGGAACCAAATAAGCATCCTGAGCAACAGAGAGACCAGCCACCACCACAACAACAACAACAGCAGCAACAACAACAACAACAACAACAACAACAACAACAACAACAACAGCAACAGCAACAGCAACAGCAGCAACAACAACAACAACAACAACAACAACAACAACAACAACAACATCAACAACAACAACAGCAGCAGCAGCAGAAGCAACAACAACAACAACAACAACAACAACAACAACAACAACAACAACAACAACAACAACAACAACAACAACAACAGCAACAGCAGCAGCAACAACAACAACATCAACAACAACAACAACAACAACAGCAGCAGCAGCAGCAGCAACAACAACAACAACAACAACAACAACAGCAATGGTCGCCTTCCTCGCAAGACCAGATGCACGGAGAGGATCGACGACAACCCAAACAGCAACTCCAACAGCAAGACCCACAGGAACAGAAAATGCAGAAAGGTGGAGGTAAATCATTATATCCTTGCTTTGTCCTTACTTTGTATTTAGAAAAAAATTATAAAAAAATCCTTTAACCCTTTACCCTTAATCCGGCAGGACAGTGCAGTGCGTATTACAGACACTCAAATTTTCGTAACTTTTTGCTCTGTTTGTAAAAGTACTCCGTTGAGATCTCTACCTTGGCCAAGTACAGGTCATATGTACATAGACATGCTTCACACTGGGTGTGTGCTGTACTGTTATGCCCTGCAGAGGCATCCTCGGCACCAAACAAACCAGCATCTGGCGAGCCTATGCGCTTCCCTTGGCTGCAGCCACCAACGAAATCGGGATCGACGCCTTCACCAGCACCATCATTAAAGCCACCTACTCCGCAGCACCAGAAACAGCCACCTACTCCGCAGCGCCAGCAACAGCAGCCATCTCTGGCCCAGCAGCAACTGCAGAGGAGTGCTGGTGAGTTCATGCACGGTCTACTGTTGATGAGCTGTGCACTCAGCTCTGGGTACAGAATTGTAAAATAGTAAACAATGCACATGTACCAGATGCTTGAAAGAATTATAAGCCCGGGTCCGGACTGGTTGAACAAATTTAAGCGCGGGGCTTAAATTTGCTCAACCAGTCCGGACCCATTGTTAATGGAGATAATACGGCATCCTGTTTGCTGTACGTGTAAAAGTGTGTCCGTTGAAGTGTCTCCCTTGGCCACGTGCAGGTCCTATGTACAGTACATAGGCATGCTTCACACTGGGTGTATGCTGTACTGTTATGCCCTGCAGGGGCATCCTCGGCACCAAACAAACCAGCAGCTGGCAAGCCTTTCCCCCTCCCTTGGTTGAAGGCAGCAGGGAAATCGGGGACGACGCCTTCGCCATCACCACCAAAGCCACCTACTCCGCGGCGCCAGAAACAGCAACAGCAACCATCTCCGGCCCGGCAGGAGAGTGCTGGTGAGTGCATGTCCAGCCTAGTATCGAAACGTCGTGCACTCGGCCCTAGGTGCAACGTTGCCAGTACGCGACACGCTGGTTACCGTATGCATGTACTGTAAGACATGTATATATAACGAGGAAGCAAATCTAACGTTTTAACGGATGACATTTCTTCGTTATAATAAGATCCGTTGAGGCCTACTGCTTCATATATGCTGTGTGTGGATATGGCAGAATACTGCAAGATCGTTAACATATCTTCTCGTTAACCTATGAATTTTGGACAATCGTTAAATTTGCGACTCGTTATAATAACATGTCTTACAGTATAGTAAAGCCTGGTGTAAGCGACCTCTGGTTTTAGCGACCACCTGCTCGTAACGACCGTTTTTCCATGCACGGACCGTTCTACAGTAGACTCGTACGCCCAAGAACGCGGTGATTTCAGAGGGCCAGCCTAGCAAAGTTCTTATTTTCAGCGCCCCAGACTACGTTCTTATTTCGCGTTCTTACGCGTCCAACATGACCCGTGACGCTCATGTACAATGCACTTTGCGCTACATGTACCGGTTGTACACTTTACATGCACGTGTAGTATGTAGCGCTGCACTGGGTGATGTTTTCGCGAGGACCCGACAAGAGTTTGTGGTTGCGGACTTGTTTTTCGTGTACTCGGACAAGATCATGAAGGTGCAATACCAAAAATGTCGCGTTCTCTTGGAGTTCGCTCTTATATCCAGACTGGGGCGTTCTTAGATTTCCAGCCTGGACGTTCTTGGGCGTACGAGTCTACTGTACACAGACACTGTGGGACCTGGTTCTAAAGACCACCTGGTTCTAAAGACCACCTGGTTCTAAAGACCACCTGGTTCTAAAGACCACCTGGTTCTAAAGACCACCTGGTTCTAAAGACCACCTGGTTCTAAAGACCACCTGGTTCTAAAGACCACCTGGTTCTAAAGACCACCTGGTTCTAAAGACCACCTGGGTCTAACGACCGCTTTTTCTTGCACCGTGGGGTGGTCGCTTAAACCTGGTGTTACTATACATATACAGTGTAGAGATCTCTGGATCCACCCCTAACGCATGTAGCAGTACGGACACCAACAGAATGCTGGGAAATGTAGTAGCAAGGCCAGGCAGGTTGGCGCCAGTGCATGACCGTTGCTACAAGTACTAGTACTACACTTAGGCCAAGCATACGAAACGGGAAAACACGAGCAGAAAGGAACGGAAATGGAAAAACTGAAGAAGAGAGTGGAAGGGAAATGGGTAGCTTGCTTGTCCAACTAGCAGAAATGTAGGCTGCTGTTTTCTTTTCATCAAACATAGCTGGTCAACCTACTACGGGGGATCTGCATCTGGACCTAAGATTAGTGACTCTGTTCTCACACAATTGTAAATCAGTTGATCAAGTTTCTCCAGACGTGTACTCCCTATGCAGGGTACCAGCTCATTTTCGTCGTCTCACACACATCGCATTGTTTTTGGTTCCGTGTGCCTGCAGGTGGTGCGGGAGGTGTTCCGCCACTGAACTGAAGCCCGCACACTGTCACCATGTACCGGCGTGCTGATCACACAGTACAGAGAGCATAGTGATCCGAAGTTTTGCACTGTGCTTTATCACTTTTCGCCCCCCCCCCCTATTTATAGTATCCTACTAGACATGAATCTGCATTGTATTTTTTGTTTTGATTTCACATTGTGCTACTTTTGGTGCTGCCCTGCCGCGCAGTAGCCATTCTAACCCTGCTATCTCCCTCGTTCTCTCTCTCTAACCCCCCCCCCTCTCTCTCTCTCTCTCTCTCCGCCTGTTCCTGCGAATGTTTTACCATCATGCGTACTGCTACTCATGCATTGCCAAAGAAATTTTGATTTGACGCTTTGTACCATACGCTGTACATACGATTTTTTTAGATAATATCTATTGTTATCAATACATACATGTAATGTACTTGAAATGATTTCTGTGAGCAAATTTCAATTCATCATGAATGATCAAAACAAAACACACGGCTTCTGGATGCAAGTGTGGCGTTGCCAGTGCAACAAGATCGCTGATCGGGTGGATTGGTGGTGCTGGCCAGAGAGTGCATACTGTATGGCTAGAGCACGAAGGAGTGCAAGATGTTGTCGTGAGTGAGCCTTGCCCTTGTTGTTGCTGTTGTTGTTGTGTGTGTGTGTGGTGTGCGCACGCACACGAGAGAGAGAGAGAGTGCGTGTGTGCGAATGCGCTCATGTGTGTGTATGTTGCGATCTGACACACACACACACACGCGCGCGCGCGCGCACACACACACACACACACACACACACACACACACACACACACACACACACACGTGAACATATGAACACGTATCTTTGCATGCATGCGCGTTGAAATTCAAATCAAAACTCAACAGTTCTATCAGAAGTCCATAATTCTCAGTTCATCTCCTACCTAGTAAATACCATAATCTTATAAATAGAATGGCGTGCTGGGTGGAGGTGATTCTTTGGATATCATCACTGGTGTTTTGATAACGGCTATTGGGGAGGTGGGGTGTGGGTGGGTGGGGGATTCTTTGGATTTCGGGTATCATTAATTTTGCAACGGTTGTGTGGGGTCAATACCATAATCTTATAAATAGAATGGCGTGCTGGGTGGAGGTGATTCTTTGGATATCATCACTAGTATTTTGATAACGGCTATTGGGGTGTGGGTGGGTGGGGGATTCTTTTGATTTCGGGTATCATTAATTTTGCAATGGTTGTGTGGGGTTAATGGCATAATCTTATGAATAGAATGGCGTGCTGGGTGGAGGTGATTCTTTGGATATCATCACTAGTAGCTATTGGGGAGGTGGGGTGTGGGTGGGTGGGTGGGGATTCTTTGGATTTCGGGTACCATTAATTTTGCAACAGTTGTGTAGGGGTGGGCTGATTCTTTGGTTATCATTTATGATGGGGAGGTGTGTGATGGTAGGGGGCTGAGTCTTTGAATATCATTTTAGATTGGGGGGGGGGGGGGGGGGGGGGGTGACAGGACAGCTTCTATACACACTAATAATTCATGATTTCTATGACTTGATGGATATGTACGGACATATGTATGCACTCATCATTGTTCTTTTTGTTATCATTCTTTACTAACAGTTATCGTCGCCGTCTTCTTCTTTCAGTGTACTCGGGCACCGGACTTCTTGCTTCCCAGCTCCATGCTTACCCTCCTTCACTTGGCTGCGTAGCGATTGCTGTGCGGGATTGGAAGACAGGCCGGCAATGGGCCGCGGCGTGCCTCTCCGGTATCCCTGCACAGAGGAAGCGCTCAGGGCCCGCTGTTCATCGTGCGCTGGCACTCGCGCTCCGTGCGTGTCCTCCGGCATGCTGCGCTCACTGAGCGACGTCAGCGAGGTTGGCGTCGGGTCCATCGTAGCCGGTCCGTTACTGCCGTCTTCAAACGCAGTGCAGCCCTGGCGTTCTTCGCTCACGATATCGGTACCGGATCCTCGCAGGCTGTTGTTTGACGCGGCGGAGCTTGCGCTTACAGGTAGCAGGGCATCGCTTGTTGGATCGTGCAGCACGATGGACGACTGCGGCTCGCAGCGGATATCATGTAAGAGCTCAGTCAGTGGCACGGTGTTTGAGATTGCCGACGGGGAGCGCGTCGGTGACTGCATCAAGTCGAACGGGCTTGCCAGTGTCCACTCTTTGTGTCTACGGCGCTCACTTGGCGATGCAAACAGCACATCGGCGCTGGAGAGCAGGGTTTTCGAGAAGGAAGTCTTGATTTCTTCTAGGCTTTCGAGGCTTTCTTGTTCCGCTGGTGGCTTGCACCCCAGCGAGTAGCTCCTACTGGAGCTGACCTTTTTCCGCTTGGGAAGATGCAGTTTCGGCGAGCTCATCCTCTGCCTCCCCTCGCCTTCGGGATGGCCGTCGTCATCGCCGCCGCCGTCATCGTGCTTCTCCTGTGTTGATATGGAGGAGAAGGTGACGCGGCGCGGCGAGAGCTGCGTCTGCACGTGCGCCACCGAGAGCTCAATCTCGCGACTATTGCCGCCGGTGGTCGCCGTCGCCAGCTGCCGCAGCATGTTGGCAACCTTCGGCTGCTCTGACCAGCTGCTATTCCTGTCAGACATTCACGCCGGGACAAGATACAGTAAACAGATATAATTATGGCGACAGATTGCTCTACCGGCATGGCAACACTGGCCAACACTCGGTTGCACTGCTATTTCACACCGTCAGTCGGTGGTTTTGCTCAATGTTTCGGTCACGAGGACCAGCTTCAGTCCTTGCAATGGAGCTGCGTGAAGTAAACCCACAGCATGGGGACCACACCGGGATTTGAACTAATCAAACCAAACCAAGCAAGCTGACATGACCGATCATGGGTGTCGAGCGCATGGGCCCAGTGATATGGGCAAGTTGTGTTATGATGGCAGGGTGTCATGCACTTGCCTATGATCACAGTTGTACACGCTTTAATAGTGTGACTCTTGATTGGACAATTTGGTTTTTAACTAATCGGTGTAGCCCAGCGACCGATAGGAGTGTTGTGAGGATTTGAGGATGCATGTACTCGTCTGTCTGGCCTAGTATGTCAAATAATTGTATGTGCAGTGTTCTGAGTTGCAAACACGGTGTCCGGATAAGACCGGGTGGAATGCACGATGGCATGCACACATATTCAGCACTGTTCTATTTTCACTACTCTAACCTTGATGAGGTTGCAATGTCTCCATCCAAGCTGAGAAGGCCTGGGCAATGTTGATACCAACATTCAGAAGAACATACACACACACACACACACACACACACACACACACACACACACACACACACACACACACACACACACACACGCACACATGAATGCGCACGCACACACACACACACACACACACACACACACACACACACACACACACACATCCACACACGCACACATATGCACAGTCAGCACCCTCTTTCCACCCTTAGCATATGGACTGTCCACTGTGTTGTACTCCAGGGAACCAAAGTGGTACCACCCGCAGCCGCGTTCGTCTCCCCCTAGCTAGGTCTACCCTATTCGTTAACTCACCTTTCTTTTCCTCCTACTCCACGTGGCTCTAACTGCCTCCCAGTGTTAGGCAAGCTCCAGATATGCCCAAACTCGTACCCTCGTCAGACAGCACTTCAGTATCTTCCAGTAAACAAAATCACAGTCACCACTTCCGCTGCATAGCTTGCTGGGCATCCCATTGCTTTGCAACTTGCTAATCCCTCCCCTTTTGTGTACGTGCTTTTCGTTTCTTTTTTTCTCTTCTTCCGTGGTTGGTCTCACCCTCTCAGTTCAATTGGCTGTCTTGACATGCTGCTAGGTGCAGAAACAAATAAAATAATAATAATATTCAGTGGAGAACAAGTTGTGCACAACAGTGGATGGTCGGCACCACAGGCCCGAGGGGCGGCACTGGTGCTTCGTTTTTTCGAGCTTCAGCTTCAGAAGAACACCTAGAAAGACCCTCTGGCTTTTTAGGCGTGTTGCACGTCAAGTTCATCCTAGTCCAGGTGCCTGGGGGTGAGGTTTTCACTTTCGTGTAATCTCTATTTTCACTGCTGCCGAGAGGCATGCGGAAAAGTTAATGTAAAGTATGCACATCGGCGTTACCACCGGCTGTACAGTTGTGTTTAGAAAGTAATAGAAACACAAGCAGCCGAGGAAAGTTTGCTTGCCTGGCTGGTTATACCCTTGTGGCGGATGCAGACCAAATTGCTCATAACTCCGAGGCTCACCTGAAATCCGGCTACCTTGGTTGAGCATGTCAATGGTCGTGGGCGATAGATTGCTCGGATCGGCGTTGTCTGGAATGGTTGCCGGCTCCGAAGACTTGCGCTTCAGCAGTAGCTTATTATCGCCAGCTCCCAAGCTGGGAGTAAGTTGCTGCGTTGGTATGGGCGACAAGACGGCGGAATGTCGTGAGTGGTTCCTCTGCCGGTGCGTGAAGAACGCCACCACCACGGTGAAGGCAATGCAGCCAATCACCGCGCCGGCCACTGCGCCTCCGCTGATGCCGGACTCGTCGTCGTCACGACCTGGAAATGCACAACATAGCGATATCCGTTATGCGTCAAGCACTGTGCCCAAACTACTAGTACCCCCCCCCCCCCCCCGTGATAAAAATTCACGGTTCATGCTGAGACTCGGCTGGATGCCTGGTTTTCTGCATCAGTAGGAATGCCACTGCCCTCCATGGATCAAGGCACCCCGTGATAAAACAAAAACAAAAAAGGCAAGTATTCGGGTGTGGGTCTGCACAACATCCGTGCTAGCCCATCATGTACAGTGATGGCAACTGAAATCCGACCCCTGGCTTTCACGCTCGAGTGCAGTGCCGATTCTAGCGGTCTCCACTTGGTGGTGTACATGCGCGTGCTGGTTTTTTTGCAATGTGAGCGCGCCAAGCTGGGGTCGCATTTCAGTTGCCAGCATTGCACTTTCAAGTGGAGACATCACCAGCAACACAGATGCTCCAGGCGGGGATGCTAGTGCTTTGTGCGATGAACATTTGGTCAGATGATCGACAAACACGGAGACTGCATTCTACGGAAAGTACCATGCACGTGTGCATGTGTGACAGTTAAACTGGTTCACAAGGTGCAGTAATCAGGAGCGGATCCAGAGATCTCTACAGGGGGGTTCCAGTGTAGGCAAAACCGAATACCTGATACAGTCATGTACATGTATGGTATTGTACACAGGACTCTGCCAACCGTGGATGATTGTAGTAGGGTCACTGTTTCCGAACACAGTGTCCTCCACCTTGATTCATGCTGTCAAACTAACAACATGTACATGTACTGTACTCGCGCAATTAGAGCCCTCTCTTGAATAGTGCCCCATCTCGAATCGTGCCTTTGTCTCTAAGAGGCAGTGAAAAAATAAAGCCCTCTCTTGAATAGTGTCAACTGGGAACGAAAATTCATAGACACAACTGCCCTTACCAAGCGTGCTGACACCAGGTGTTGTTGTTAATGATGTGGTTGCTACACAGACACACATACACATGCACACACACACACACACACACACACACACACACACACACACACACACACACACACACACACACACACACACACACACACATGCACGGACACACATGCATACAAAGGCACACAGACACAGACAGGCACACGCAGCCCAGCCAAGCTACTTTCCATATACCCGACAGGAACTCTATAGAAGATCCATACTGATATGAGGGTTTCCATGACATGCAAAATGTTACCCTTCCGTGACCCTTCCATGCTCCTAGAAGTAAGAACACAACTTACTTATCAGTGGCGTCGGACACGCTACAGTCACTACGGTTTTGATCGTACCACTCTTTGCCCCTGGTACCCTGTGAATTAATAAAAGGCACTGATTTGGGCTCTAAATTTCGAAAAATTTCTGAAGAGACACCCCAACCCCACGAGTAAATTGTCCTTCAGGTGGCTGACCGTACCACCCTGAAATACCTTCAGACACCCCTGCTTATATACCGGTTTCGTAAAACTCCTGACCCCTGATCCAGACTCCCAGATTCGGGCACTTCCAGACACCTTTCTGACCCCTCTCTAGTCACAAAATTGACATATCAACGAAAAGTGCCACCAATAATATTGATTGGCACCAAGAAGTGGTTACTTGCATGCAGCTGCAGTATGTGTGTTCTGAGTTGTGGACAATCACTAGTCAGTTACCGGGGCAGTGTTCGGTCCCAACGTGCCTGGATAAGGATGCTCTATCGAGACAGCACCCATAGTGGAGTGGCACACTCCGTACCCCCTACCCAGCGGGATAGTGCAGCCCTAACCGTCCGTGTTACATTGAATGTGAACCAGCCTCTACACGTCATGCAGCAGTCCACATGGAGTGGGTTCACTGTTATCAGGCTTATGTCTGCTTTGATTCCCATTTTAAATAAAGTACCGGAATGCAGCTTGCTAAAGCTGGGTATATTCCTGTAGAAGCCATGGTCAGGGCTAGGTCTCTATTCACACAAGGCTTCTATTCAAACAAGGTATTTCTATGTGTGTCAACACTAAAACCAGGCTTATGCGCCGAACGGGGCATCTAGAAAATCAGGCTTCTATTCAAAACAGGCTTCTATCTGAGGCAGGCCTTACTAAAAGACATGACGGTATACAACAACAACAACAACAACAACAACAACAACAACAACAACAACAACAACAACAACAACAAAAACAACAACAACAACAACAACAACAACAACAACACCACCACCACCATACCTTGCATGTTACCCAGTGGGAGATGCAGCAGTACCAGAAGCAGCACAAACACAATCGCGTTGCTCGCCATCACGTGTCTCAGCTTGTTTCCTTCAGCTTTGTTTCAAGTCTCACAGTCAATTACAGCGCTGCTTCCCGGTGACGCTGCTCAGCACCGTCTCATAACCAGGGGACAGAGAATCCACGCTCAGCCCATGTCACAACTCCCAGTGCGTCACGCCTGAGGCTGTGTCCTGTCCGAGGGCAGCAGAAGATCTACACACAGAGAGTTGCAGTCATGCACTGGAACAGAGAGCAGGCGACTAGTGGTGTGTGTGTGTGGGGGGGGGGGGGGGGGGTGGTGGTGGTGGAGGGGGGGGGGGGGGGCTGAAAACCAAGACAGTAATTTCGATCTTTTTTAAAGCATACACGTACACGGACACATGCACCGATTACCGGTATTACAAGCTACTCCGGAGTACACACGAGAAGCTAGAACTGAAAAATGCTCTAGTACTAGTAGTAAGCTTGCCGAAAGACTGCAAGAAACGGTCTTCTTTCGCCTCACTTCTGTCCAAGACTTTTGGTCCTACAAGAAGCGGAAGTCGTTCGAGCCTACGTCCCAAGCTTACGCTTCCCAACGCATGCGATGTCCTTCCCCATGTCAGCAGTCTTGACTAAATTTCAACTACATATAATGACACAAAGGTGGTTACTAGCTTCCAGGCGCCACAGGGTTTGCACCACCATTTTCTCGCTATTTGGAAAGTCTGAACTTTCCCCATTTCGACATGCTGAAACTTCCCTCCTAATTCAATACCTTTCTTCCCAAGGGTGGTGCGAAGAATCCTCCTCTTCGATAGGTAACTAATCCTGCTGCTTGCAACCGCTGTGCTTGATCTTCCGTGGCTTGAGCACGAAAAACTCGAAGACGACCAAAATTGCTTCACTCTTCTTTCTGAACGGACTTTGCACTGTACTGTACTTTGCACTGACCTCGGTGACCTTCCCGCAAAGACACCAGTCTGTACCGTGTAGATACGTGTGATCTGTGATAATGATTAATGCGCTGGATGAGTGGAACCAAGACAAGAGTATAACCAGGGAGTCGTAAAATACCGGTATTTTACGACTCCCTGAGTATAACCACCCCGGACCCCCTCCTGTCTTGGTGGAACCGATCTCCAGCGCGCCGTGTACATATTTTTTCCTTGAGTTGCAAAATAAATAATTTTGCTGATCTGACGTAATCACGTAACTAAAATTTTTTCAAATGTAGTATTGTAGATACGAAGTTTCACTTCAGAAAAAGTTAGTTTAGTGTAAAAGTTAGTTGGTATGGAATGAGTTGGTGAAAACCATTGTCACTTTTGAATGTGAAAATGGCAACAAAGCCGAACTGCTTGATCGTTGCGAGTGCGTCGGCTGAGGGCGTCTCCGCGAGGTCATTCGTCAACTCGTTTACCCTCACGACGTCAGCCTTCAATGTGCAGCTTGCGACGCCTTCGGGTCAGGCTGTTGAATATATAAATGTGGACGAAAGCAGTAAGAGATGGCTGACGGACTTTGCTAGCAAGCCGTACTCTACCCCAGCCAAGCTGGAGAATTGTGACCCGAGCCGCTACTCAGTTCTGCTCATTCCCAGTGGTCCCGGCGCGGTGTTTGATCTGGCCACTGACCAGTCACTGGCACACATCATCACACAGTTTGTGGCGGAGCAGAAGCCGATCTGCGCCGTCGGCATGGGCGTGTGCGCCCTCTGCTGCGCCATGGATCCGGAAAGTCGCTGGCGGCTGAAGGGCTACTCGCTGACGGCACCGCCGACGATGGAGCTGGCAAAGCAGGTTCTGTTTCCCAAGCTGCCGCTGTTGCCGGAGGATTTCATTCGTGAGCAGGGCGGCAGTTTCAGCTCGAACTTCACCGACGGCAACCACGTGGTGATCGATCGGCACGTCATAACCGGGCAGAATGACCTGTCGACGCTGACCGCCGTGCAAAACCTGATCCTCCTAGGAAACGCGAGGCAAGCGAAAAAGTGAGCCGCCGGTATCCTGATCCCGAACCTTAGCGCTCCATTACACCATCCCGACAGTAACAACAATGAAAGGACATATCGATTCACAAATTCACGAATCCAATCTCGCACTGAATACCTTATGTACATAAAAAAAAGTTCATCTTGCACCAATATGTGCGTCTTGCACCATTTCAATATATTCTAGGATATTGATTTTTTTAATTTTATTATTATCTTTTGCCCTTCATGACAACTGTGTGATCCTTTAGACATTTTCTGATCTTGATCCTACAGCAGCTGGTTTGCTGTTTGTTATTCCTTTTTCCTTCCTTTTTTTTTAGAGATATCCTGCTGAGAGCAGGTGCAACACTGTTGGATTGAAATACAGTCGGCTAGTGATGAGAATGTAGACTGTGTCGTCAGCTAATCAGGTGTGTATGTGTGTACGTGTGTGTGTGTGTGTGTGTGTGTGTGTGTGTGTGTGTGTGCGTGCACACTCGCGCGTGTGTGTGTGTGCGCGTTGGGATTCACTAGCCAGAAAAAAACCCACTTCAATCAGCTGTGTGGTGGATACCAGGCTAAAATTAGTGGCGGTCAATTCATCAGCCTTGCAAGCTGTTGAATGGTGTCATCCCAGCACAAGTTGCTTTTATATGTCTAACATAGCTGTTCGCTATCATCGCTTCCGCGATGGGCATGCCTGAGTCTGAGCGTATGCGTGTGTGTGTGTGTGTGTGTGTGTGTGTGTGTGTGTTTGTGTGTGTGGGCAAGCTGTTGAATGGTGTAATCCCAGCAATAGTCGCTATGTCTAACGTAGCTTGTTCGCTATCATCGCTTCAGCGACGGGGCAGGTGCAAAGTGTATTAAAGGTGAGCACTGTGTGTGCGTGCGTGTGTGTGTGTGTATGTGTGCGTGCGTGTGCACGAGTCACAGTGTCGCCGTGCGTAACATCCATCAAGAGTTATTCATGACCTGCAATCGCATACATTGCATGACCACGCTCGTGTAAATCGAAGACGTTCTTACACAGGAGGGGTCGGGTCGGCCGCACAACGGCTTTTTATTTACTTCTACTCAGGCTGTGCATGTGTGATGTCCATTCATACAAGCGCTGGCGTCAGATCACCCTCTACCACTTGTCCATTGCGCAGCACACGTGTAGCGAACGCGGTTAACAACAATAATCTGGCGTGGGCACAATCTTCAGTTCCAACTTCGCTGTACATGCATGTGGATGCTCTGCTACTATTGCACTGTGACGATTTGTTTTCTTTGAACAGCAGAGTTCTTCCGCACTGATACTGATAAGGCACTGGCCGGTACTCATGCGGTCTCATGTGGCAGGTAGTCAACTATGTGATACAAAGAGTACACAAACCAGGCCATGTGCTCTTCAAGACTAATGCTGATACTATGTTGTAGCTGCGGCAGTATCAGTGCAGTATCGACAGTTACCATTGGAATCATCCAGTGCATTTTTCGCTACACTGGCCACCAGCCTTATGAGACATTCCAGGATGCCGACCATGTTTTTTGCATACATTCGAGCCTGTGTTGAAAGACCACCTGCCTATAAAGACCAATATTCTGTGCGCCACGGGCCCGCAGTGGTCGCTAGATGCAGACTCCACAGTGCAATGTACTGAGAACGGACACTCTGGTCACCATGGTTACGGCCGAAGACATAAGGCCCTAGCAAGAGGATGACGCTGTGGAACGGGCCAAGAACTACTAGTACCGTAGTAGCGCGCACTTGGTCTTGTAATTGTCACGCAGCACCGGGTGTGGTCCCTATATTGCATTGCAGGTAAGGTTCATTAGGCCAATCCCTGATCCGTCAGCAACAGCACTGTTTTGTCTTCTTGTGTATTCATTACCGCAGTCATGGAGAAATGAAGCTTAACATGTAATCAAGTAGCGTGCTCCACTGTCAGACTCAGAAGAGTGCTCAATACCCCTCTAAAGGGCAGAGCCTTGTACACAAGAGAGAGAGATTAGAAGCTGTGTCGCAACTCTGACTCTGAGTGTCCCGTGTTAGTATACGATCATCAGGCACCTCTACATGTACAGTAGGGCCTGTAGCTGCAATAGACCAGTCCATTTTTCAAGTTAAAGTAATATACATGGTGGTATCACTGGAAGCAAGACGGTAAATGAGTTCCCAGTGGAAGCCTGTTCACTCTTGCTCAGCGGAGGTATGCATGCTTCAACACACAGAGCAGCAGCATGGGTGGAAGTGGAATATCAAAACATGTGCGTGCACATGTCGCCTGATCGTGTATGCAGCACAACATACCTGATCATTTTGCACTGATCCATGAAAGGAAATTCCATCCCCATTTCTCCCGTATATGGAGTCTTTTCCACATGGTGCATTGGGATTATAATTATCACGTTATCAAGCCGTCCATATAATGGCCAAGGACGGTGGGGAAACTTCATTCGATTCTTGTTTTGCGCCAAATTTATCCCCTACTGCCAATGGTCCAATGTTATCGATGAAAAGATTAGTTATCGTATTTCCCCGATTGTAAGTCGCACCTTTTTTACACTAAACTTCAAGGGCAAAGAAGGGGGTGCGACTTACAATCGAGTGTGACTTCTTACTACCGTATTTCCACAAATAGTAGGCCGGTCTACTATTTTTTCAACCTCGTCCTAACCCGCGAGGACGGTCTTGTATTCGAGGACGGTCTTTTATTCTTTCAACCCAGTTTGACCCCGGTCTTCTATTTCTCGCCACACAGTTTTACCCCCGTTCTTCCATTTTCTTCTACACAGTTTGAGCACGGTCTTCTATTTTTCCCCACAGTTTGAGCACGGTCTTCTATTTTTTCTATTTTTAACACAAGAACAAAGACTCATTTAGTAGGCCTGGTCTTCTAATCGGAGACGGTCTTTTATTTTTTCAATCGCCCCCTGCCCTGGCCTTGTATACGAGGAAGGCGTTGTATACGAGGACGGCCTTTTATTTGCGGAAATACGGTATTAATTTTGGTTCGGACGTGAGAATGGGCTGCGACTTATAATCAAGTGCGACTTATCATCAGGGAAATATGGTATTCATGGTGGATAGAAACACAAACAATCCACAACCAACACACACGGATTCATTTTGACAGAACCCCCCCCCCCCCCCCCAGAACTCATCTATGACTACTCCTGGTAGGTGACTAGAGAGACTGAAAGAAGCAGCTCATGGTAGCAGAAGATAAAGCTAAAATAAAGCAGAGAGGTCCCAGGTTGTCCAATAGAGTGCTCAATGCTGAAAGGCATAGCTACTTTCGAAGTAGTTCCAACACTTGAAGAATACAAGGATGATGATCGCAATAGTGCGTGAAACTCGGCTTAAAAACACTATTCATCCTCTTTCAATATTCTTGTTGATAAAGCTAAAATAAATAAGTAGTCGTTATCTAGTCTTTGTACCTGGGCAGTTTTTCAATCGCCACTTCATACAACTGGCGGCGAGGAAGCTGGAGATCATTACGAGTACTGCGGCGGCCAGGACTGATCGCATCTTCAGACTTCTTCTCCGGCCACAGTGGGATGTACAAGCTGTCGGTGCCAACCGCGCTGAGCTGCTCCGTGAGATCGCGAGCGTCCGCCTTGCTCGCCCAGTGGTCTTCCGGCGGTATTACGGCGGCATGTGGGTACCTGCGCATAGGCAGACCAAGTACGACACAGTAGAACCTGTCAAGGTGACCACTGATAAGGCGACCACCTGTCCTAAAGGACCACTTTTCCGGGGTATAAGCCGCACCAGGGTATAAGCCGCACCCCCCTATTTGAGGCAAAATATTGACTAAAAGTTGGTATTCGGAGTATAAGCCGCACCCACAAACCAAGATTTTTCACACTCATTGACAAATGGCCTTTCTACAAATTTATTATGGTTATGGAGCTAAATACCATGTTATATCAGATTATGAAAAATAGAGTCCCCGTATACGCGTACCGTATGGTGTAGCCCGCGCACTAAAACTAGTAAAAGTGCCGGGATAGCAACACAGGCGCGAAGCTGAGTCGAATGACATGTCACATGACGTCAGCATGCATACTGATGTATGCTAAGCATTCATTCGCGCAAGCATATTCGGTGTATAAGGCCAAGTAAAATAAAATCCCAGTTTATCGTCCTTTTTTTCACAAAAATCGGGGAGGGAGGGCGGATTTTATTTTTATTTTTTATTTTTTGATGTGCTACAGACTAGTATAGTTCTTGGTAAACAATGACACATCATGTGCAACAATCTGCAACAGAATAGTGGTAGTGTATGGAATACACAATGCTATAACAGTTATATGTACATAAACAATTACATGCAAAATCACGGCTTTGGATCGACAGATTGTCACTCCACTCATAAGACACAAACCCCAATACTGTTTGGTTCACACAGACCACCAGATAAATGATAGAAAGCTGCAGAAGGGAAAGAACCAGTCAGGACAGTAACCAATAGTCAGTCATAAAGGGAACATGTTGACGAAGCTGTGTTTTCAAGCCTTAGCCGACGTAAAAAATCAAGCTTTTTGGCAAAATTCTAGATTTAAAAAATAAAAATAAATTCCGGGCGGCCTCGAAAAATGGGGCGGGCGGGGACGATAAACTAGGATTTTTTTTACTTGGCCTAAGGCCACACGTTTTTTATTTCTATGTTTCTCGTCACCTGAAAATCTAAAAACGTATGCGAGAGGTGGAAAAAAATGACCGAAAAAAAAAGAAGTTTATTAGACCTTTGTTCACACTAAAATCCACCAATACACCATGCAAAATAGCATCCATCGTTAGCAACTAGTATAATGGTAGGAGCTTCTGTCACAATCTGTGCATGTGCAGCTAGATTGCGCACAAGAAATGCCGACCTCGCATCATGTGTCGCGCAGGCTAGGCCACATTATGTACAATCATGTACATGTACATGAGTGTGCTGGTCCCCACATGCACACTCAGTGCAGCACAGTTTTTTTCTTCTTTTTTTCTTCCAGACTCCTGAATCGTATGCGCGCGGGTGACGAGAAACATAGAAATAAAAACGTGTGGCCTAAGCCGCAGGGGCGATTTTGGTCCGATTTTTAGCGAAAAAAAGTGCGGCTTATACCCCGGAAAATACGGTATGTTACATGCACTTCCGCTCAAATGACCCTGGATAAGGAGAACACCTGCACACAGCGACCACACTATGGACTCAGTATGGAGAACTGTAGAGGGGTCAGTTTGGACAGGTCACAGTTCCCCGTAGAACAACTGGTGCCCCCCCCCCCCCCCCCCCCTAAATATCACTCACATATGGCACACCCACACATGTCCAGCTAAAGGGCTCACCAGAAGAAGAAAAAAAATGATCATTCACTCCCTAACTGCGCCACGGCACCGATGGCATGGCGGATGCATGACCAGAGCTGGGTTGTACTTCAGTAACAGTACCAGTTATACAATCTGTTTGGAGGCTCATCATGGAATGGCGCGCGTGAATGGCTGTTTGACTCGGGGTGTTGACTTGAAGTGCGCTAGTGGCTGGACTACTCCAGCCAGCAGCCGTGTAGACTGATTTTCTAAGAACACCACGCAATAGACGACAGTCTCACATTACAAGAGGCACCCCTCCCCCCTCCCCCACCCCCCATGCACTAAACAGATCGTTCATAGTGTGCTAGGTGGGTCAGAGGTGCACGTTACGTTTAGAAGAAAAAAATGCGAACTTATGAGATACTAAGGAAGTTGGCGGGGAAAGCGCGAGCTCCAGTGTGGTGAGCAACCAACTTCCATACGCAAAGAACGCTCACGTCCACAGCGCTTTGTGACTGGGCATGACTATTCAGGCCGTGCTGTGCACAGAAACGTGTTATGTACGTGCTTCCAAGAAGTGCTCCACCTTTTTTTCTCTCACCCCCTTTCTGATGACCCTCCTGAGTGTCCTCGTTTCCTGTTCAACCCTCTTTGAAGTCGTACATTGTGTGATTGTTGAGACAACGAACTGAAATAAATCAAAACAAACAAAACAAACAATTATGCACCCGGAACAGCAGCAACTTACATGAGCTTAGCCGGGTGTAGCAAGTCCAGCTCAATGTCACTTGGCTGATCGGACTCCTGCTCCTCCTGAGTGTCCCGCTGGCCCTGCGCTTTCCACCATCCGTCCGTCTCGAGCCGTTGCCGCAGTCGACTCAGAGCGTTGCGAGCTGCTGCATAGTGGTCATAGTCCTGGAGATCGCCAGTCGTCGCATGGCCACATAACACACAGTACACAGAGTGATTGGAAGTTTCCATGTGCCACGATGATGTGGGAACAGGGAGTGTGTGTGTGGAAGGGGGGGGGGGGGGGGGGACTTTCTATCACAGTAAAAACCTGGTTTTAGCGACCACCTGCTCTTAACGACCGTTTTCCATGCACGGCCAGTTCTACACAGACACTGTGGGACCTGGCTCTAAAGAGCACCTGGCTTTAACGACCGCTTTTGCTTGCACCGTGGGTTGGTCGCTTAAACCAGGTGTTTACTGTGTACCTTAGGACCAGTGGTAAATGAGCACACTTAAAGGCTCAGTTTAGTTTTGCAAGAAGCTAGTAAAAGAAGCTAGTAAAATCAAGACTGAGAGCATGATCCGCCAAGGGCTAACAGCAGAGGTCTTGCATTGCAGTGACCCAACACTGAGTCCAAGTTCAAACCGGCTTACTTTGAACTCTGGTGACTTACATATGCCACTGCGTTTCCGGCTTGTGCGGCTGGAAATTGTTCGCCAGCAATGCCGCCATAAGTCACCAGATGAACGGTGGGGAGGCCAGGTTGAGCTTGTGCCAGTTTACCAAGGAGATAGACGAACTGCGCGCAGGCGCTGTAGCACACTCCGTCGGACACGACAACAACTCGCTTCACGTGCTGTAGAACGTTAGAAGTCGCACGACCGCTCGTCTCGCCACGCTTGACGCCGAGTGAGTGTGGAGAATGTAGCGTCTCCGAGCACATCTTGAGCGGAGCTGTGCACATGCTGGCTGCAGGGCAGTTTTCGCAAGTGTCCTCTTGCCGTGGCAGGAAGTCCGGCACGGGCGCTCCTCTGGCGTGACGCAAGCACTGGCGTGCTTCCAAACCGGACACACCCAGGAAGCTCTCCGACTGCGCACGCAGAACAGACAACAGTAGGCCGAGCAGCAATTCGGAACGGCCACTGTCCGAGTTCGGAGCCACGGCACGGTAGAGACTGGTCTTCACCCGCATCACCTCGGCCACGGTGTCGAACGGGAGATCGGCTGCACGCGCGTACGCTTCGATCTTCTCTAGAAGAGCGGCTGAGCAACGCTTGCACACTCCTGTCGGGAACGCCTGCAGCAGCGGTAGCAATGCATGACTGGATTGCTGCAGAGAGTCTAAGTCACGCATTGTCATGAGGCAGGGAGCGGCAGCGGCAGATGCTGGAGACAATCCGTTCTTCTGTAGTGCCTTCACCAGCACCTCCAGCACTCCGTACATAGTAGACAGCAGACCTCCTCTGTTACCGCTGACGTCCAACACCAGTGTGCGTATCGGTGACGCCGTGGAGTGGGGAAGCACGTTGGAGAGCAGCTTATGCAGATGCCCGGTCGTTATGAAAGCGGGCGTACGAAATGACGGCAGCATAATGACGGCATATCCCTTGCCCCGATGCACGGAAGGAAAGACATCCTCTACATGGGAAACGACAAAAGACACAGGGAGATGGAATCAACTCGGATGGAGAGCCATGAATAAATTTATAGAAAAGAAAAAGGACCAAGGAACTACAAGTTATGCTATAATGTCCACTAACACCACCAGTTACTAAACAATCAGCTCATGCGAAGGAGATGGAATCAATTACCGCATTTTCCGGAGTATAAGCCGCACTTTGAATACTCAAAATTCACCCAAAAAGAGGGGGGGGGGTTGGCTTATACTCCAGTGATCAAATTATAGGTGATAAATAGGGTAGATGTCCGTATTTTGTGGCAAAAAAAGGGGTGAGGGTGCGGCTTATACTTCAGTGCGGCGTTATCTCCGGAAAATACGGTAAGAAAACCAGTGTCCGAGGCAATGGTGTGAGTCTAACAAGTTTGAAATGTAGGTCAAAATGTACGTCAGGGATTCTTTAGGTCAGGGATTCTTTAGGTCAGGGATTCACAGAAGAACCTTCACCACCAGTCACAGTGCTCAATACACGGCGTCAAGAGTACATAAACCAGAGTGTGCAACTCGGGATGGTTCCTGTGGGAGCGTAATTCGTGCACTACGTCATTTCTGACGGCATGGTAAGCCACAGGTACGGTGCCGAAAGTTGCGTAACCAGTCGCGGTGGTGCAGGTCACTGAGTTTGTCCTGATTTCGGTTTTTTGATACGGATAGCCTGGTGACTTTACTTTTCGGTGGATGTACGCAGCGTACACAGTCACACAAAACACCGAAATCCTGAAACTGGACGTCTAAAATCAAGCAACTTGGCTGATTTCTGGGCTATGAAACATGAAAATTTGAGCTGTACGCAAGTCGCGGCTTGGCTGACCTCATCAGGGTGACGTAGTGCACGAACTGCGCTGTTTCAGATCTGATATGCACAGTTGCACACTCTGGTTTATGTACTCTTGACGGCGTCCAGAGCTTAGTACAAACGAAAATACGGTGGTTAAATGTCTCGGTGACATCACTTTTTGTTCCACCGGATTTTCGTTTGTAGGTCAGGAATTCTTTAGTTTGCAGTTTACACATGGACATAGTTTCACTGTATAGTATGCAGCAGAAAGAAGAAGAAAAGGAAGGGGTTTCACTGCCGATGATCTGGAGATGGAGACTTTACTGCGGCATGGCCACAATTGTACGCTTTGATGTCTGCTCGTCACATGGTGCCAATCTTCTATTCAATAACGGCTCGAAGCAGAACCAAACCTTGTAATTGCTACACAACCATTGACAACAGGAATGAGCACCGAATGCAGCCTTTCTTCAGCAGTAGGCTTGTTTTGAAAGCAGTATCATACACAGCCTCGCACTGCACACTAAAAACATAACAACCGGTCAGTAGATATTATTGCCGTCTTTGGTGCTCTCAAACAAGCTCCATGCAACACACACACACATACACACATACACACACACACACACACACACACACACACACACACACTCACACATACACGTACACACACACACACACACACACACACATGCACACACAGAGTACTTTCCCGGACTGTGTGCTGACCCTATAGTGTTACCATGGTTACCTTGGCCGGCAGCACTGCCAGTGCGGAACGTGCTATCGATCATGCGGGCGGCGGAGCACGGCGATCCACCATGCACGGTCGTGTTCCTGGTCCTCTCGGTGACAGTGTCACCCAGCAAGCACCGTAGCTTGGTAGAGTGCGGCACGGCGGCCAGTCGAACCGTCCACGGCAGGCCCACGGTGCGGCCATTCGACAAGAGTAGGTGGACACCATCGCTTTCGGGCAGGACAATCGTCGAGACATCTTTGCATGGAGAAAAGCAGGTAACACGATGGGTACAAGACTACAAGTCACAGACCATCACTTCTTACTAAGTTCTTAGTTCATATAGACGCAAGTACTGCAGCGACTTCTTCCGCGATACTTTTAGTCAGTCAAGATAATGTCAGTCGGTCAAGTGTCAAGTCAAGTCAGCGGAAAAGCGCGAACTCTGGTGTGGGGAGCAACCAACTTTGCTATAAAATTACCACCGAGGAAGTCACTGCCACTCTTTCGCTTTTAAATCAATTTAAACTTTTTTAAACAAAGCCAAGCAAACCGAATGGGCTTAAAGAAGCGCACCAATACTTTGTACGAATTGGAGTCAAGACATTACTTTTTGGCATTGTAACTGTGAACATGCCACAAAGACAGTCAAGCTCACCAAAGCAAGAGCGGTGCAGCGCATTGTTGAGCAATGGTCCGGTAGCTTGTCCTGCTGCCTGTCTTCCTCCCAGTAACTTCTTCAGGGCAGAATAAAAGAACACAAAAACTTAGTGAAGAGTATACGTTCCCAAGAGTGCAGTAAAACCTGTAACTATCGACCACCCCTTGCCCTTGGGGCCAGAGAAAGCGGTCTTTAGTGGCAGGTGGTCCTTAGTTAGAGGTTTGCGCTGCACAACCATTATATGAATGCGAGCCCGTCCGTGCCTGGCGAAGCGGTCTGTAGTACCAGGCTGGTCGCTAGTCACGGTGGTCTTTAGTTACAGATTTCACTGTATGCAACACTCTGGATACCCTTTCTACGGGGCCGGGAGTCGGGGCGGTGATACTCACTTCACGTGGTGTAGTGTTCACATTGTTTGTTACCAGCTCTTATTCAGTGAGAAGCGGAGTAATAAAAATAGCACTCCCTCGCAGACCCCTCCCTCATAGTATGCAAGTCATCAGCATCACCACGGCACATACTCGTACTGCGCGCACGCTAGCCTTCGTTGTACGTAAAATGAAACGTACCTGGAAGATTCACTGGTTTGATGGAAAGACAAAAACGGGAAAAGTCTGAAGAAAAATTGACTGTCACCACCAGGACTTGAACTCGTACCTGGAACACGTGATGTTAGTTTTCGCTGTCGCAGACCCCATGTGGAGAGTTGCACACTCTTGGGAACTTACTTGAGTACTGACTCTTGATATTTTCATACAGTACAGTTGATCTGCCCCCCCCCCCCTGTTTTCTTTCCAACCCAGTTTTACAGCAGGGGAGGGGGCGTGTGAGTGTGGAGGGGGGGGGGGGGGGGAGAAGCTTGAGGCTATCGTGTGGAGTATGATGTGCAGGAACGCAGCCAAGTGCAAAAAGGCACCCTGTGCATTTTCCGTCCATCAGAGCAAAGTGTCTCGGCTGACCTGTGCCAACATCATCCATACATGGGCAGATTTCCATCTCTGTTCACTCTGTCCACTTCATATTTCGGTTATCAGTTATGATCAAATCTTCAACCTGAATATCTACCGATTAGTGATGCGAGAGTCAACACGCGCCTAGCCTCTCGTATATGCACACACCACAGCGAGAGGTCAGAATCATTTACCTTGATGAAATCAAACGGTGAAAGCCGTTCGATCGATTTGACAGTGTGACCGACTATCATTTGTACATCGGTATTAAGCCCCTCGTCCGGAAACGATATCTGTGTGCCAAGCTTTGCAATGAACAGGACTTGGTGCTGGTGCAGCGAGCTCGAGTCACGCTCGATGCGAGAGCCGAACTCCACCGGCAGACAAAGCGATGCAAGCTGCGATACTGGCGACTTGTATTGGACATGCTCGTCACAGAGACTACGCGCGTAGTCGTGCACACGCGTGTGCAGCTGTAGCAGATTGCTTAGAGAGCGGTTGACGAAGCGTGCGATCGGCAATGCTCCGCAGGGTGGCCTCGACTTGGTGTGCAGCTGACGAACCTTAGTCGTGGCCCTGTAGTAGTAGCAGTAGCAGCAGCAGAGCAAAGTAACACATTAGCTCGGGTCTGAGGGATGTCCAAGACCAAACTGGTGGTACCGTTGCAGTTACGAATGCAAACTCTACTTCTACTGTAACTCGTCCCTAACGAGGCATGTAAGTAATCATTATCATTCAAAAGCCATGTTTCAGTTGTTTATAAGAAATTATTATGTCAATTTACTCATTCATGTACTGCTTAGAAAACATCATGTCAATTTTCTCTGCCCCTTACAACGCCAGAGCTGCAATTGTTGCATTCAGAACACGCGTTGTCAGCGGAATGGATGCTAGGCAGCGTCGGAGTTGTCCAATACTTGTAAACCACTCTAGTCCTTGGCGGGCCACTGGAGATGCACAGACTATAGAGAAGAACGCAGAAACAAGCAGTCCAGGTAGATCAGATGCCAATGAGTTGCTCAGTGATAGCCAAGGTAAACTACAATAAAGGACAGATAGAAGGAATGAACGGGGGAGGGAGGGAGAGAGGGAAAGAGAAGTGGAAAGAGCAGCAAGGAAGGGATTGAGGAAGGAAAGACAGGAAAGAAGAAGACATGCTGTCAAAGAGAAGGAAGAAAAGAGATAAAAGACTTTGTGTGTGTTGTGTGTGTGTGTGTTTTGCCAGGGTGGCACATGACATTGGTCGGTTCTATTTGTGCGGGTTGGTTCTTACAGCACTCTAGCCAGCAGTAGTCCATAGCCCTGTGTCAGGCACTGTAGAATTTCCCTGTGCCACACTGCTAGTATGAACGTTATTAGGTCCGTGCACTGTACGTGGGAATGCTTTAACTTGCCATCTTCATTCCTGCCCACGTTGGTTGTCCTCCACAGCGGCCCGATTCCTACGCCGACTGGTCCACGGGGCTTGCACGGCCGCTGAGGCCAACGCATGTCATTATTCTCTGAACGGCCGGTTCGGCGGCCAACAGCAGGATCACACACGACCGAATGCTGATAGTTGTTGAGTAATGAGACCTGGACAGCACCGACAGACGAACAAGGGACACTGTATACAATATAATAATTATTATTATAGATACATTGACATGCACCTAGGTATTAAAGTCTGAAGTCAACCCCGACTGCGACCTAACTTAAAGGGGATTCCCGGGGAATCAAGGAATTAAAAATCCCGGACCACCATCATGCTCGTACGAACTCGGAAGACTAGATCTACGTGCACCAGGAGTTAGCCGGTATCGGCTGTGGCCGTGGGTTCCATTGCACTAGTAGCTGTGTACAGAATCTGAGACTGAGCAAACAGGCAGTAGAATGAATCTGGACCTCGGCAAGCAGCCATTTTGGTGGGCCAAGCACCCTTGCCGTTCACTCAATAGACCGTGTGCACGTTGTACAGATATACGAAGCTCTGTACTAGGACCGTAGATTTGTACAGACCCGGTTGGGCGTTCATTGTGTGCTATGCATGCGCACAAGAGTGCATGAAAACCAGAGTGTGCAGCTCGGATGGGTGGCTGTCACGGCGGAATTCCGCGATTACATCATTTTAGTGATGTAGTGCGTACAAGCAGGATTCAAGCAGGTCTCTTTCTGCACAACTGCAGCTCAGTTGTACGCACTACGCCATTTCCCGCCTCAGATATCTGCACCGAATATGATGTAATCACGGAATTCCGCCGTGACAGACACCCATAGCAGAAAAGGTCCCAAGCTGCACACTCTGGTTTTCATGTACTCTTGATGCGGATTTGACCAATTTTAGCCTCATTATTAATGCATGGCAAACAATCGCTTTTCCAGCTTCTTCACTTTGGTTAGAACTAATGACTAGCTAGATCTTTGTCAGAAAAAGGTTTTCGTTTGAAATGCCTTTATGGGCCCATTTCTTAGTGGAAATAGCAGAAAACACAATAGGGTCCTGCACATTTAACACCCAGCTGGGTCTACGGGATTCTATCAGATACTGCAGGATTCGTGCATCTGTACAACGACGTTACGTGCATAAGGCTTATCCCTGCAGATGGAGGTTACGCTATTTCAGCATCAGTTGATATACCTCAGTGCATTGAGTGGCGAAGTCGCAGCTATCCTATGCCTCCTGATGGAAAAAACCCTAACCAATGAAAAAATGACATCCAGGAGTCATCAAATTCCGGTACATGTACTTTGCACCCCCCCCCCCCCCCCCCCCACCGTTTCACCACTATTATTGTAGCAACAAAGCGTGCTACATGCTCATGTTGCGACCATGCAAGTATTTGCAATTTATTATTTTTTGGTAGTTCGCTATAAAAACGGTGTGGCTGTTAGTTCGGACCATCTGATCATAGCCTAGCCCTGGGATGTTCAAGGAAATAATAAAGTGCAAGGATCGACAATGCTTCATTCAATCAGCTTGCCAGACTTGAGCCACGGACTTACCAATCCGGCTATCACCGTCCCCGCCATCGCTATCAGCAGGAGCCATGCCAGCAGTAATGTCCGTCGCTTCCACCGGCTCATTGTGGCGAGTCGCTGACAAACGCATCGCCGCGAAATGACCATCTTCCACAAGCAGGCCTTCGGAATCAATCGTCATCTTCCCGGCACACTGATTCAGTAGTAGCAGTTCCTTCATTTCAGCCACGAATCGCTACTCACGTGGGACGTTGATTTATCCAAGCTCCATTACCAGTGCTGTGCGAGTCCGAAGCTGAACTGAGCGCAGCCACGACTCGATCTGGCTTCCTCCTCCGAGCGTGCACGCGTGTAATGTCTGTAGCCCTCCTAGTACTCCTACGCTAATGGCTATGTTCGATCAAGCGGATGCCTATGTCACAGTATCAGTGTGAAACCAGAAGCTCGTCTGCGGTTCGCGGGATCTCGGATCCGATGATCTTGATGTCAGCAGATGATACTGCCTGTCACACTGCGTCCACGATCCGGTCCGGGACTCCGGGTCCATCAAAGCACATGTCACATGAGCAACTGCATGCTGAAGAAGCCTGGCCGGTGAACAGCTCAGCTGGACAGGTGAATTCGAAGTAAATGCGAGAATCGAATGATGTTTGCAGCCTGCATGCCTTGAAATTTGAATGGAGTCGTTCGACCCTGCACCTGGGCCCTGGTAGATCTACGCGAGACCAGTTCAGAGACAGAGCTGGAAGAGGTAAATTATCCTTCACGCATTTTGCAATAGTAATCATGACATATTTTTCAATTTTTTTGTCTCCTGGCCTGGATCGAGCACTAGGGCACGACCTATCAAGACGTGGTATACTGGGGAAGGGTGTAGTGTGTACTCTTGGTGAGGTACATGTACATGTATTTGACGACTCCCTGTTCATTATTATAATGACTGAAACACCAACGTCCAAGCTTGCAAGTGACGTAAAAATAGGTACATCATACCCCATGGCCCAGTCTGGATATTAGTGCAGTAAAGCCTCTGGATAAGTAGAAGCAAGAGTAGAGAGTACTCTTGGTAGAAGGTTACCTTGGTTACTTGGTGACTTGTCACTTCGGCGCCACCGTTTCAGCGCGATACATGATTTCAGCGCCGGCACTTCGGCGCCTTATTTCACATCGCCATGACTACCAGCGCGGCAAAGTACAGCGCCAACAACTGCATGCAGCGTGCGAAAAAAAGTACATAGGCGCGGTAATTTACAGCGCAAAGACTTAGCTCAGCGCGATGAAGTACGGCGCGATAAGGCACAGCGCGATAAAGTACAGCACGGTGAAGTACAGCGCAAACAAGTACATGATTGTATAGAGCGATCAGGTACAGCGCGAGTCATTACTTGTACAGTCATACCAAGAGTAGATAAACAAGAGTGTGCAACTCCCGGATGGGTTGGCCCACGGCGGAATTTTTTGTTGACGTAATCTTTTCTACGATCCACGCGCTGCGAGTCTTTTGGAAAGCTTTGCCTCATGCACTTGGCCGGGCTTTACATTACAAGCTCGGTGCCCAGCACGTGCTCTCACACTGCTCTGCGGCAAGATGCGCGTTTTTCTGGAAAAAAACGTGACATCAACAAAAAATCCCGCCGTGGGCGGGGGTATCTGTAGATTGTGCAGAAGAGATCCGGAGTTGCACACTCTTGTCTATCTACTCTTGGTCATACTCCTAGTCATTACAGGCGATGTTCATTATACACATGATGTCCAGTTGTTGGGAGAACCTTTTTCCTGTACACATCATACACAGCTGCTGCTGGAGAAATAGACGGGGAACCACCTTGAAAGTTCCGTCCATGAATCATCACTGTCATATTCACCCCTGATCGCCGCATGGGAGGCTCCGTAGCAAACACGAGTGTAGCAGGTTCTTGATGAGGAACCGCAAGCTTGTGTTTTTTTTCTTCGCGTCAGAGCCTCCTGTCTAATGCCTAGCCTATATTATTATTATCATGTCTGCATCGTCGTTCGGAATGGCAGGGTCAGGGAGTCGTCAAATTCCGACTCCTTGGGCAGGGTGCTTACTGTGACGTGGCTCACCTACTCCCGTAGAGACTGGAGAAACTTGGCACGGAGGGAGATTGACGTTGTGTACTACAATACTATGTAGGTCGGTATACATGTACTGTGTATCACCTTATTTTCGGTGTTGTAAAATTTCGGTAAAAGCCAACCCCTGACCTTTCGGTGTAAGGATAAATTCGGTATGCATGGCACAAAAAAAAAACGGCTCTTGCTCCAATATCTCCGGCTAGGCTCCACATACATGTATGTAAATGTACATGTATGTATATAATAAATGTAGAGCCGAAGGATTTATTGCAATTACATACCAGTATAAAAACCGAGGTCCCCCGAGGTTTTTACAACTGGTATGTAATTGCAATAAATCCTTCGGCTACTACATTTATTATACATATGTTGACCTTCACTTTCCCTAAAAAGGAGTATTTTATAAACAGTATTTATTGGCCTTGCCCTTAGTGGTATTTTATAAACAGTATTTATTGGCCCAAAAGCCAATAAATACTGTTTATAAAATACTCCTTTTTAGGGAAAAGTGCAGTGCTGCATGGAAAAGTACAGTGGTATTTATTGAGTCAAGCAAATTTATTTGAATTTGATACTGTTGATGGTGTGGTCACTAATGAGTGTGGGTATTTATCAAAGGTCAATAATATATTATAATATGTACATACATGTACATACATGTACAGCATTGGGTACATGTACATGTACATGTATGTACATGTACATGTATAATTATGTACATGACCGTATTATACCAGTATACAAGTTGATTTTGGTATTTCGGAAAATTTAGGTGTAATGTTAAATTAGGTGATCCAGGACCAGTACCGAAGTTACCGAAATAAAGGTGTTATACAGTATCAATAAATTGGTGCTGAATGTCTCGATTGACGCACAACCTAAACGTCTCGAGAGAGTTTCACTTTACTAATCCCAACCAATCCAGTCACACAAGTAACTACAGTTAGTGATTCCAACTTACTTCTCAAATCCGTACCCTCATTCCCAAAGAGTTACTGGATGCGAGCCAAGACAATGTACAACCTTTCTCTACCATCACAAAGGAATAATAACTGGCTGGCTGCCAGAGCAGCGGAAGTCAAGCCGAGAATGTCGCGTGCACTACGGACTGCACGATGGAACATGTAAACCTAGGAACGGCTATTCATGCACCGACTAGAGTAGAGGCAAAGTGTACTAATGGTGAAACACAATGTCAGTAGGGGACAAGAGTAACTAGAGTCAGCTATGCACGACTAGACCAGGCCGAGTCATGACAGCAGTCATAACACTACAAGTGGTACATCGGGATGCAGATCACGACACTCCGGCCAGCAAAATGTTACACTACTGGGTAAAGAGAAGAAAGGGTGATAACGGATAGAAAGCAATTTGGATCTAATGAACAAACGCAGCGGGGTGGTTCTCACGAAAGGGCCTAGTGTAATGCGTGTTTTGAGCTAAGGCTGCTATGAAACTATCGGAGTTAAAATGTGAGGCTAATGGAGTGTTCTCTCATTTAATAGGCAACTATACCGGGTACCTGTTGCCGAAATGGGTTCATGCGAGCCAAGATTCAATGTTCTTCGCGGCTCTTTCTGCTGCCTTTCTTCTTGGTCGCTGTACAAGTGGTTGATTTGGCGCGTTGCCCTTTCGCTGTTGTGGCTCTTCCGTCGCTGCATCGTTGGAGTCCTGGGGAGATGATGGCTCTTGGATTGCTGACACTTCCAGCGGATACAGATGAGACAGTGGACGTGAGACGATATTCCTCGACGGCAGGCGAACTTTAGCACTTCTGATGGCTTTGTCTGTTGTACTCTTCGGCAGGTCTTCAATCCTTGCAATTCTCCAGAAACCTCTCGGAGTTCCTTCCTGCTTCACGATGACGATGTCGCCGATTCGTGGAGTTAGGCTAGCAGACTGATGGCGTTGCAGTCGATGTAGTGGCGTTGATCTCTCTTGGAGCATCATGAGATATTCTTCCTTCCATTGTTTCCAGAAGTCTTCCAATCTCCGTGTATGATGACGCCATCGTCGCAATAGAATGTGCGAGGTGTCTTCGTTGTTGGTGGGATTATACTCCTCCTCTTGTTCATCCAGCGCTCCGAATGGTGCCATCAGGGACAGACCTGGGCTCAAGAAGTGTGCAGGTGTCAAGACAGACACATCCGGCGAGTCTTCGTCTGATGGTATTGCGGTCAGCGGTCTCGAGTTGGTTACAGCTTCAACCTCAGTTAATAAAGTCTGCAGTTCGTCACGGGTCAGTAGGCTACGACCGATGGCCTTCCGAAAGGACCGTTTAACTGTGCCGATCAGACGTTCATAGATGCCACCTTGCCAGGGTGCAAGCTCAGTAGTGAAGCGCCAGGTTATCCCTTGTGAGGATATGTAGCTGTGGAGATCGGGATCATTGATGACCGTGTGCCATAAATCTCGGAACACAGATGCGGCGAGTTTGAAATGCTTGGCATTGTCGGAGTATACCATGTGCGGCACACCTCGGCGAGACACAAATCTGCGAAAGCACATGACGAATTGCGATGTTGATATGTCTGAAACCAATTCCAAATGGATTGCTCGTACAGTGAAGCAAGTGAATATGCACACCCAGACCTTGTCAGTGCCTCCAGGTTGCTTGACTCGCAGCGGACCAAAGTAGTCCGTCCCAACATACTGGAAGGGGTTGGACCTTGAAACTCGCTCCTTTGGAAGCGACGGCATCGGCGGCAGGCGGAATGATTGGCCCTCATGGCGACGACACGTGGTACACTGGCGAAGAATCCTTTGCACCGCTGCCTTTCCCTTTGGAAGCCAGTAGCTGCGTCGTATCAGGGTGAGCGTGTGTGCCGGTCCAGCGTGGAGAGCTTGTCGATGCATCTCCTCGACAACAGCTGTAGTGAACCAGTGGTTCCGTGGCAGTAGCGCGGGAGGTGTGGAATCCGTAGCCTCATATGCCTTGCCAAGTCTTCCGTGGCACCGGAGCACACCATACTGATCTGCGTGGATGCCGAGTTGCGTCACTATGCTGCTATTCTTCGACTCCATGTCTGGGAAGCTTTGCTGCTGGATATGCCTCACCCAAAGGCAGTTAGATAGGCGAATGGAGGGCGTTTCAGACAGGACTGTTGCGAGGAGTGGGTGCTTCGTCCTCAGCTTCTGTTGGCTGTCACTGGAGAGTCGCTGCCAGATCTTCTTTCGTAGAAAGACCAGACAATTGGCGGTGATTCGCAATAGAGTTGACAGCTGTCGGTGTCCCGGCTCGATCCCAGCTAGACCAGTCGATTGTACGACAGGTGTGTCTTCCGTGTTGGCGACAAGTGATGCTTCGAAGACAGCCTTGGGTCCCCTGCACTCGGCCATCACATTCTTGAAATCTTCTGGAGTGATGGGAGGTCGCTGCCAGGTGGGCCAGTTGTCCTCGGCTTGCCGCAGCCAGTGAGGTCCGTGCCACCAGATGTCACTGAGGTCAGGCACAGTGGCGCCTCTCGTTGCTAGATCTGCAGGGTTGTCTTCGCTGCGAACATACCGGAATGACAGATCTTCTACTTGCTGGACTTCTTTGACACGGTTACGGACGAACACACTCAGGTCTTTATGCGTAACAAGCCAGCGGAGAACGCACTGTGAGTCGCACCACAGGAAGCTCTTCGTGATGTCGATGCCGAGCTCTTTGCGCACAAATAGCAGAGCTCTGGTTGCAATGACTACGCCCATGAGCTCTAGGCGGGGTATGGTGAGCTCCCTTTTTGCTGGCGCCAATCGCATCTTGCAGAAGAGCAGTGTCGATGTCGCATCAGGTCCGTTGGCTTCACGGAGGTAGACACACGCTGCATAGGAGTCCTTTGATGCGTCACAGAAGACATGAAGTTGTCGATCGGTAACTGACTTCAGAGTGGAGGTTCGGCGTTGGATACGGATGTCTGCGACCGGCTCAAGTATACCCTCTATGGACTGCCATTGCTCGAGTCGTTCTGTGGGTAGAGCGTCGTCCCAAGACAGGTCGTCCCTCCAAAGCGTTCTCAAAAACACTTTGGCATGGAAGGTGACTGGGTTGAAGAGTCCGAGTGGATCATAAATGCGTGCTACGTTGTGCAAAACACGCCGTTTGGATGCTATGCTGTCGACGTCAGGCGACTCGGAGCTCACACCTGGAATGTGGAATGTGTCGGCGACGGTATCCCACTGCAGGCCGAGAACTTTCTGGCTCGTGTTCGTCGCTGTCACACTCGGGTCAAACACAGAGGAGGTAGCAGGGTCATTGGACGACCACTCACGTACATTCATGGACGCGGAGTTGAACACCTGCCGAGTCTCGCGGTACTTGACCTCGGCTTCCTCTGCAGTACCAGCCGTCAGCATGATGTTATCCACGTAGATGTTCTTGCGAATTTCGGCTGCTGTGGCTGTCTTGTGTTTGTCAAGGTGATGCCTGATTGTGGCATCCAGCAAGAACGGACTGCTGATGATGCCAAATGGTAGTCGGCAGAACCGGTAGACTTCGATGTTGTCCACGATGACGTCCGGCTTAGTGATGTCACGATACCACAGAAATCGGGCGACGTCACGGTCTGTCTCTTGAATCCTTACTTGCAGGAATGCCTTCTCAATATCTGAGATTAGCACGATCGGGGCCAGGCGAAATCGTAGCAGAATGCCGCAGAGGCTAGGCAGGAGGGACGGCCCTTGATTCAGGCAGTCATTCAGGCTCGGTGCTGTCTTATTGATCTTCGCACTGGCGTCATAGACCACTCGGAGTTTGGTGGTAGCCTTCGAAGGAGACAACACTGGATGGTGCGGCAGATGGTGCGAGCGTTGACCGCACTTGGTTTTCTCTGTGACTCGCTCGATAATGCCAAGCCGTTCCTGCTGCAGCAGCACGTCGTTGTACCTGGTCAGCAGGTCTCCATCTGCTGCAAGCCGTTTCCCCAGTGACTTCATCCTTCCGTAGGCTAGGTCCTTGTTGTGTGGAAGCTGCATGTCGGGCTTCCATGGAAACTGGACTGTGTAGCGGCCGTCGGCAAACGTGACGGTCTCCTCGAACTGTCGAACTGTGTCGTCATCTGTTGGGAGACTTGCTGGGTCCTCCACACCGATCCTTTCTAGCGACCAAAACTCCGTCAAGTTTGGTTCGACTTCAGCAAGCAGAGCAGAGTCGGCGGTTGCCATGTAGTCATATAGCGGACGCTGTAGACCGGTGCTTGCCTGCGTCATGACAAGAAGCGTTGAGCTGTTGCTGTCATCCGACTTGGACGAACACTGTCCTGTGACGATGTGACCCAAGAGCGTATCCATCACGTACAAACCTGACGGTAGACGCTGCGGTGATCCTTGCACAAGATTTCCGTAATGATCAGAACCAATGAGAATGTCAATGGCCCTCGTCTCGGCTGTTGATGGTATGGTGTCTGCCATTTGAATGGATGGTTCGCCTGCCAGGAACTCCGCATCTTCAGATGGAAGAGGGTAGCGTCGGATAGGTCGTGTAATGGTGTCGAGTACATTCGCTTTGATGGGGTACCTCTGTCCGTCGGACAGTGAGATGGACGTCTGAACGACCGATGTAACAACACTGCGTGGGTGTGTCACTCCAAAGGTGATGAGGGTCAATGACTCTTGTCTCTCCGGCTGCAGCTGAAGCTGCTTGCTGAGCTGGGTACTCATGTACGTGCGATTGCTGCCGGTGTCCAGTAACGCATGCGCGGTGATAAAGCTACCATCGGCAGCTTGAATCTGCACTTGTGCTGTCTGGAGGAATACTGCACCAGTCTTGTCGCTGGGACCCTCTGACACGAGACTGGCGGAGCACGTATTTGCAAGTTCCTCAGGTTGTGGCCTTGAGCTGCCTTTGGAGGGCTCACGTCTCTCATGGGCTGGGCAGATAGCTCGGTTGTGGCCGGTCTTGCTGCAGTGAAAACACGCCTTGGTTTTCTCTGGGCACTGGGACGCCATATGGCTCCGTCGCAGACAAATGAAGCAACGACCTTGTTCTCGGAGCTTCTGTTGTCTTGTCCGAGCCAGCTTGTAGGTGACGCACTGGTCGTTGAAGTGAGTCCCCTTGCAGAAGACACATAGACGTGGAGGTGCACTATGCGTTGACTGAGATGAAAGAGCGTGTCCAGTTCCTTGCATGGTCATTGGTGAGCCGTGCTGTGTCTGTGTGGCCGGTGTCCTTGAAGACTGAGAGGCAGAAGTCTCGGAACCTTCCCGCAAATTCCGGTGGATTTCGGCATACCGCTGAAGGGCGGATCGCAGGGTGGCGACCGTCCACGACTGATGGCTCGATGTTCGCCATTCCTCTAGCTTGGTGAGTACTTCCGTAGGGAACTTGGACAAAATGTGCTGCACCAATAGTGGCTGCTGTTCAACGCTAATGCCCATGGCAGCCAGCTGTCGTAGTATCCGTTCGATGTTGTCAATGGTGTTCCGGATATCACGGTGTTTGGACGATGTGCTTTGCAATCGCTGCAGCTTGGTATACAGGGCAGCAACAATATCATCTGTCCGTCCGTATCGTTCTTTCAGTAGCTGTACGGCCGTGGCATAGTTGTTGTTGGTGATAGCCAGACCAGCGAGCGTGTGGGCAGCTCGGCCAGTGAGGGCACTCTTCAAGTAGCTCAGCTTAACGACATCGGACATTGGCTGTTTGTCCACGGCAGTTTCAAACAGGTCCCAAAAATCGGGCCAGTTGGTGACCTGCCCGTCGAAGCTCGGTATTTCCATCGGTTTTAGCTTGAACACAACGGAGCTTGGGCCGGCTGCAGCGGATGTGCTGGTGTGTTGTGGCGTTTGGTTTTGGCTCAAAGCCTGGGCGACATTCATAACTGCGCCCTGAAGAGCTTGCTCCAGTGGGGCAATAGCATCGCGTGGCCAGGTTGTGGCTGGTGGAGGGACTGTCCTGGCGGCGACAGAATGGTCTGGTGGATAGAATGTTTCTGCATCTGGCTGAAGCTGTTGTACTGCTTGTCTGTCCTGGGTCTCCTGCTGGAGGTAATGCTCATAGTCATAGGCCCTGTCCTCCTCACCACTGCCATAGGTGGGACTTGGGCTGGGCACCGCATGCACTGCTGGAGTGGCAGCAGTTCTACCAGTGCCAGGGCCAATGGCATGCCTGACACGTGGTTTGGGGACTGGTGGCACTGGTGATCTTGGTTGGCTTCTGACACTGACTGCTGCGCTGGTTTCCTGTGCATTTGCTGCGCTGGCAGGAGACTCAGTTGCATCTACTACATGTACAATGTCATGAAGCACTGCACTTTGTGCGTGTGACTGTTCAGCCGACTCACATTGGGACTGTCGCGGTGGCTCAACAGTGTCACAAGCACTTGAAGCAGCAGTGTCGATATCCGCGTCGGCACTCTTCTCACTCCACGCATGTAGTGTTGGCGACGCATGACATGTTGGTTTTGGTCCGCTGCGAGGGCTAGACATGGCCGCACCAAGAACATCTAGCGCGCGTGGTCCATGCTCTTCTAGTAATCGGAGTCGGGTGCGGCGTTCGTCTTCAGCTTCATACTGAGTGCGAGAATGGTGGTCGCATTGTTGTAAACATTGTGCGAGCCTCAGCAAACACACGCATTCAAGTTCGAAATTATTCTCCCACGCGTCTTGTTCATCTAATTTCTTATCCTCGTTTGCGTCTTCTAAGCTCCGTCTAATATTGTCTTGGATACCCTCGATGTTTGACTTCAAACCGGACGCCTCATCGTAAAGGGAACGTGCGGCAGAAACATCTAGGCGGCCAAGAGCGTCTGCGCTGAAACAATCAGTTCCTAGCAGGTCTAGGTGAATTTTTATCTTTCGCCTCACCCTCGTCAGTCGACGCTTCATGTTGGACCTCGATTGGATCATCTGCTTGTATTCGGGGGTGGACGAGACTAGCAGCCGCTCCGAATCTCCTGCACCAGCGTCCGTGCCATCGGTCTGGTCCTTGCTGGCGTCCTCATTACCGGCCTCATGGGACTCATCCGCTGTACCATCCACGGCTCGTGGATCTACGCTCGTTTGAGCGGCTTGGGTCACCGGTAATTCTGCAGCAGCTGCACCGGTTGACTCGACAGGCTGTTCCTGTTCAGAGGTTGTTTGTTCGTTGGGTGACGACATCCTGGTCACAGCACCATGTCTCGATTGACGCACAACCTAAACGTCTCGAGAGAGTTTCACTTTACTAATCTCAACCAATCCAGTCACACAAGTAACTACAGTTAGTGATTCCAACTTACTTCTCAAATCCGTACCCTCATTCCCAAAGAGTTACTGGATGCGAGCCAAGACAATGTACAACCTTTCTCTACCATCACAAAGGAATAATAACTGGCTGGCTGCCAGAGCAGCGGAAGTCAAGCCGAGAATGTCGCGTGCACTACGGACTGCACGATGGAACATGTAAACCTAGGAACGGCTATTCATGCACCGACTAGAGTAGAGGCAAAGTGTACTAATGGTGAAACACAATGTCAGTAGGGGACAAGAGTAACTAGAGTCAGCTATGCACGACTAGACCAGGCCGAGTCATCTGGTCATGACAGCAGTCATAACACTACAAGTGGTACATCGGGATGCAGATCACGACACTGAAATATATGGCGCTGGGATCTGTGGTGCTGAGAAAGTTTTTTTTGGCGCTCGCACTGACATACATGTATGTGGCACTGAGATATTCGGCATTTTATCTTCTGGCGCTGAGGTATGCGGTGCTGACATAATTATTTAGCGCTGAAACGGCCGCGCTCACCTGGTTGGCACTGAACTCGAGGGCGCCGGAATGGCATGGAATCGGTTACCATGGTTACTGCATAGTCAAGGCTAGATGACTCTAAACGACTATGCAATGACCGATTAGGCTACCGGGGATCACACACACACACTCACACCGGCCATGTACCATGTACCATGTACCATGTACCATGTACCATGTACCATGTATACGCCCATCGCAAGAGAAGCACGCAAATCTGCAAATGCACTGGATGTGCACCCACAGATTTTCTCTTATAGCAACGATAGCGAACAAGATCTGAATGAGACAGATCAAGACTTGCGCCAGATAACTGTCTAATCCACACAACTGGCGAAGCCATGTGAATCGACCACCAATGCACACCTGGTCTACACCACACGGAGTACATCGGCGTAAAACGGCCAAGACAGTTACCTCTGCACACCCTACACTTGCTGGGGTAACCAGTATAGACAGCACGCTGCTTTGATAGAAGCAGACACTAGATGCACTGGTACCAACCTTGAAGTGAAATTCCACACACACACACACACCGTGGGTCCTTCTTGCTACATTCGCTCCCTTGTCACTGGACAGTGCTGTCAGTTTGTTGTAGCAAATTCAAACGAAGAAAACAACACTGCTCCCCACCCCAACAGGCCGTGTCCTCACACCGTACCTACTCGCGGGGGGGGGGGGGGGGGGTACGATGGGTCGTGAGTTCCAGCCATTGCCAGGCGCCAGTGTTGGTAGTTTTCGTCCGAATAGCCATGAGAACATGGCAGGAAAACTGAATACCTGATACGAAAACGTAGACGATGTTTGCAGAACCCTGGACCGTTTTGTCGTTCCGGGCAGTTCGTGTCCAAAATAGCTGCACGCACAGTTGTACGAGCAGCGTGTACGTGCCGGTGTGAATGCGCCTGCATGAAAACAACGTCTGCCAGTACGTGGAATTCCAAAACGAGACGTGCATTGTAACAGACAACACATACCGTCCACATGTGCAAACCAGGCCTCACCAAGAGGAGGGCCTGGTGCAACATCATGAAATGAACACCTGCGGCACTGACATTTTGTAGTTGCACACCTATTTGTGCACAGAGCGTCATAAATCGCTGTGGAGGTAACAATCTTCATAGCATTACATTGTAAGGTAAGGTTAGTATATACAGTCAATACATGTACCGGCGCAAGTCCGGAGCAAACGGCCATTATCATAACAGCATCGCTACTCACAGATACCCTACGTGGATAGTCACGAGTACTACATCGATAGACGTAAAAGAAATGAAAAGAATCCGGAGAAAACGGCTCAAGCTCCTGGCTAAAATACCATTGCAAACATATCTGGCAGAAACTAGAGCAGTCAGTCAAGACAAAGGCCATACGAAACAGCAGATAGACACACAAGACGGAAGCTGGACGCAGACGTAGAATAGCACGATAGGATAACACTTTTCTGGTTTCGGTAGAGTGACCATGCAATATAGAATGAGTAGGGGAAGAGATAGTAGAGGTGATGACGATGAAAAAAAGATACGACATAAAAAAAAAGCTCAGTACTCAAAAGTCATGTTGAGTCACATACCGTGGGCGAATTCCAGAATTCCACTCCAGCTTCTCTGACTGCCGACTCAACTAGGCTTTGTTCTCGCTGGCCTGAGCGGCCTCCTGGGCGCGCGCAATCTGCATCTCGCGCTGCCGAACAAACGTGTAGGCGGCGGACCCGCACATGACCATCACGTTGCTGACCCACCAGAGGAAGGACTTGTACTGCGAGGCCCAGACGACGGCCAGGACGGTCTGCGCGCACGCCTTGGCGGTGCCGCTCACGTTGTGCGTCAGCGGGCTCGTCACCTAACGCACACACGACACAAGATAAGACAAGAGCAGCAGCAGCGGACGAAGATTTTAGTTTCCTGAAGTAGAGTGCGAATCCTGGAACAGAGTTCACGACGACACCGCTATTCACCCTAGTACCAAGAGTGCATAAACAAGAGTATGCAACTGTGGTGATGGGTCAGTGCGCGGCGCGCTGCGTTCATTACGTAACTTGCCTTCATCACGCTCTGAAAGCATGCATTCAAACTCACAATTTCTCGTACGAGCCCATCCGTTTTTGCTCGAGTCGTTCCAGTACCTACGCGATCTCTAAATTCTGGCGAGTGAACTCCAGTTCCGTACGAAAGTTCATTTCAAACCAGAGGGAAAGTGCGGTGTTTGATTTTCCGCAGTGCGCGGACTGCAGCTGAATGATGTAATGAAGGCAGCGCACCGCGCATCTGGCCCATAGAAAAGAGATCACAGTTGCATACTCTTGTTTATGGACTCTTGCTAGTACTAGTAGAGTCACACACACCTTGCATGTTCTACTGTAAGTTTAAAAAGCTCAAAAACCTACGTGTGGTACTCTGTACAGTAAACCCTGTGACCAACGACCACCCGTTGGGGCCAGAGAAAGCGGTCTTTAGTGGCAGGTGGTCCTTAGTTAGAGGTTTGCACCGACAACCATATTATACGAATGTGAGACCGTCCGTGCCTGGCGAAGTGGTCTGTAGTACCAGGCTGGTCGCCAGTCACGGTGGTCTTTAGTTACAGGTTTTACTGTATATAAAATGCACGTGTACGTATCAAATCAAGAATGCATAAACCAGAGCAGCGTGCAACTTTGCCCAACGGGCTCTGGACAGCGGAATTCGTCGTCTACGTCACTTTTGATGAGTCGTGGCAGCCGCAATTCCACTGTTGTCCCGTACCGTGGTCAGTGGCATTAGTTTATCACCATAATTAATGATGTCAAAACGAAGTAAACGACGAACTACGCTTTTCCCGGCCGCATACTTGGTTTCCCACTCTTATCTACTTCATGGACATACTTAGTACTATTGATCAAACGTACAGCCGAGCCTCAACTATCTGGATCCTCTGTACCTGGTATCTGTACTGGAGTTTCTCCTTTGTTGTAGGTTTGAATCTTGTTGTGCACAACAAGACATTTATGAACTGGATTATGCAGACACATCGCCCTGGGTTCCTGACTAAAGGTGTCTGGACAAGCGAGGTTCACCTGCACCCAGAACAGCTCAAATCCGAACAAAGAGCGCGCGCGTGCATGTGAATGTGTGTGTGCGTGCGTGTGTATGTGTGTGCATTGCCTGCACAACGACACAATGCTTGCATGAGAACAAGCACCAAGAGAGATGTACATGTACCAACGCAGCCTGGTCAGTTCGCAGGCAGGACCGAAGACAGATTACTCACGAAGCATGCAATGAGCCCCAGCAGTACGACTAGCACCAAAAGATTTTTTTTGACGAATTCAAAGCACTTCACACAGCCAGAGTACTATTCACACCACAGAGGAGAAACAAAAACCAAAATGCCGCATTTCATTTCCATGCCATCACGGCCATGCCAATCAACACTCACGCGAATCTGCAGCCCAGTCACGTAGGCAATGGCGATGCCCATCACACCGCTCAGCAGCATCATGCCCCAGAAGGAGAGCGAAGACAGCTTGGGGTACTTCATCAGGACGGAAAACTCGCCGAAGATGAAGATCAGAGGCAAGAACAGAAGTGACGCGTTCAGGTTGTTGTACATCTGCAAGCGCCACAGGTTGCCTTCGACGAGCGGCAAGAACTTTTTGGTGAAGATGGCATTGAGAGCGACGCAGCAGCTAGCGCTGACGCCGAAGAACACGCCCAGGAAGAGATCGGAGTCGTTACCCTGCAAACGTTCGAGTGCACACACACACACAGAGTAGAGTCAGGGTTGAGTAGCTCAAGTGTTTACACACAGACACACACACTCCGCAACTCTGTACGACTTTGCCAATAGATATTACTAACTACACCAACCCACTAATGAATTCACCATCACCAACCACACAGACACATACCACCCCCCCTCCCCCCACACACACACAAAGACAACACACCATGACAGGTCTGGACTCACCGATTTCGTTGCCGACTTGTTCTCCTGCTTGACGCCGAGCAAGAAGCCACCGATAATGGCGGAGCAGCAGATGATGGCACGCGGCGATGTGCCTTGTCGCAGAATGAGATATGACAGTACCTGCACATGGCGGGTGAAAAACATACAGAGATGAGTAGTGCAAGTGAGAGTCCTCTGGCTCAGTAGAGTGTTCAATATGCATTCGAATAGAGCTATCTTACACAAGACACAGGAGCACCACGAATCCTGTACTGTATAACAATGTACATTTAGGTGAAGTAAAATTTCGGTGCCAGGGACCTGCCAGGTTTCAGGTGTAATGTAGAATTAGGCGACCAGTATTCCCTGCACATACAGTGCAGATCCTGGGGCTATTTAGGTGCCTGGCTGGCTTCACTACTGAAATAACTGAAACGAAAATTACACTGAAAATAACGTGTTACACAGCAGGGGACAATCACCGCGGACGACACCAAGGGAGAAATTCTTCTCAATGCACAACGAGTGGAGAAATGACACAGGGAAGTATACAGCAACCCTGTTAGCATCCACCATTTAATGCACAGCTCACATCACATTAGACCACGAGCACGTCAGCTGGCACATACCACCAGCAGCAGCAGCAGCAGCCTGAAGTTACCACAAAGCCAACACGGGATGCATGTACGTACCACGTTGAAAATCGTTGTCAACGAACGACCCACATTGTAGAATGCCACACCGACATACTTCAGGCACAGGTTGTTGAAAGCAATCATGCCCACGAACACTGCCGACAAGGGTAGAAGCTGCGGGGAAACACATGGACAAAACAGACAAAACGTAACATTTGTTAGTACAGGTCTTGCAACAGTCTTGTTGAGTGTTGCCACAGGGCTATGCCCATGTGAACTCCCCATCTTTTAAGGTGACTAGTTGTTCACCGATACATGAAACAGCTATGAACTATTCGTCAACATATCTTCCCATCTTATTTTTCTCCACTCGTCCTCTCTGCCATTTCCATATTCACACGATGTTTGGGACCTGTACAAAGTAATGTTGATAGCACACAGCGTCCTTTTCGTCGTCATAAAAAACAACTACAACAGGGCTCTAGCCAGGAAACATTTTATGGCATGGGGAGGGGGTAGGGGAAACGAACAGTTCACCCATTTCTGCCCTGTTCTCTATTGCCTTTTCACACAAAATGCAACGTACGGGCGCACAGATCGCCCAGAACGATCGAGTTGTGGCTGCACTTTCACTGTCTGAACTGAAAAGATCGAAAAAATGAGTAGGGTGGGAGAGGGTGGGAGAGGGGTGCTGCCCTTCCCCCGCTTCCCTAGCTAGAATGCTGCTGTTATCGTAGAGGTCTCCCAAAAACGTATGAAGATATCATAGGAGGGCCGGCCGGTGCCTGTGCAGGCAATGAGTCAAGACATATTTCCTTCCAGAGTTCAGACACAAGCAGCACTTCCACTTTACCCTGTGCCCAGTACGGCTGTTTCTCAACATAGTTGTAAGCCGGTGCTAACGTGGATGTGCAAACTTTGCTGTTATAGTATGGCCTTGAAGCCTCGATAAGCCAACCCACTGGCTGGACCACCATGATCAGTGTTCAGAGCTTGGAAAGTTGAACATGCTGAACAGTACATACCTGCAACATGAGCGAAGTGCTGATTTGGAACGCTGGGAACTCGTCCAGGAACTGCATCCCCGAGCCGAACTTGCTGAGAAGGAAGAGGCAGACGACGCCAGTGACACACTGCGAGAAGGTGATGAACAGTGGTGCATCCAGCTACAGCACAAAGATACGACAGAGAAAGCCGGAGAGAACAAGAGTGAGTGAGAGACAGTGTGTGTGTGTGTGTGTGTGTGTGTGTGTGTGTGTGTGAGAGAGAGAGAGAGAGAGAGAGAGAGAGAGAGACAGAGAGAGAGAGAGAGAGACAGAGAGAGAGAGAGAGAGACAGAGAGAGAGAGAGAAAGACAGAGAGAGAGAGATAGATAGAGAGAGACAGAGATAGAGAGAGAGAGAAGGGTTGAAAGTATATTCTTTCCTTCATTCAGCAACCCAATATGCCTCTTGTATTCTGAAGAAGACTTGGATTGTCTGAAATACTAACATTATCAGTATCAAATATAGCTGTTGTGTGGTCCAGTCATCTGGAATTTTGAGGTGCTTCTGTATGTATGAATCTGTTCCACCTCCACCACATGCGGTGGCCGACCTCATTTACACCAGCAACATGACTCCCAGTTGCAGACATCGACAAAATAATTCCTCCGTACAGCTGTGTAGATCACACAGATCTCTTCAGTGAAGGTTGTACGAATACCGAGTGGCTAGAACTCATGACAAGCACAATGTTACACAGGGGATATTAAACTGTGAAATGAAGAAGCGCAATCCCACAGTATAGTAATTCAGTTCAGTCTATGCCACCACTACACACATTATAACTCAGTAGTGACAGTGCTAGAGTCAGCCCCTCAGTGCTAAGCATGTCAGCTACCAGGTCACCTGCGTGACAACGATGTGTCACCGCACTGTCACTTGGACCCGCCTAAGCTAGCCAAAGGCAGTATTGGCAGGCGCTAGGCCCATGCTGCTACTGCGTGCGCAGCTGCAATCGTTCGATGCGCGCCAAGATCTCCCTGTCCAACTTTAATTGAAAGGGCAGCAAGCCTGTCACCCACATGCTATCAATCCATCTCCAACTGATATTTTGACTGGGCGTTGACAGCTCTCATAGTTGACTACTGGTATCGAGCGTGGCCACGTATGTCCAGGTCCATTCATGTAGTACGGGCTCATTAGGGCAATGCCTCCAATAAATAAAAAATTAACTAGGTCTGAACTCTGTGTCGCGTGGGGTCAAGTTTGGAAAAAATCGGTTCTGCCATGTCCAGACTGCCTGCTACGGGCCTGATTGTGATGCTATTCATTCTTCCTTTTGAGCATTGATAATTTGTCTAACTTTAGATCATCAGAGACAACATCCACTTCAATTCGGCACCCACTGCAACGGCAAGGACGACAACAGGACACGGACATACCTTGACATCTTTACTGCTCAATAGGTAGGAGTTGAGGAAGACCATAGAAATGGACACAACCCTGCATGGTGCACAGCAGCATATAAACAGGCAGTAGTGTCAGGACTGGCGTTAAATCATAGACTACATAGATGCGCAGCTATTGACGTATTGTATCGGTATATTGCAAAGCCTGATTATAATGCTGTCCCTTCCCCTCTCCTCTCACCCAAGCCATTCTGCATAAGGGAAGCTGTGGCCACAGCATACTCCTGCTACACTTCAATGCGGGAATGCTCATAATAATAAAATCACCCAAGCCATTCTGCATAAGGGAAGCTGTGGCCACAGCATACTCCTGCTACACTTCAATGCGGGAATGCTCATAATAATAAAATTGCAAAGCGGTAGCAGGTGAAATCCAACTTCACGAATACAACCGCCGTGCGGCTGTGCGGAGCAAGCAGTGCGAACACCAGGGAGTCGTAAAATACCGGGAGGCGACACGAGATGCACAACCGCGTCGGATGATTGACTCAGCTCGGGCACGAGTGCTGAGGGAAAATATAGAATCCCCAAGAGGTCAAAGCGGCGCAGGTCATGCACAAAGGACGCGTTCGCTGTTTGGTCCCAAAAATCAAAAAAATAATCCTGCCCCCAAGGAATCGTCCGAGTGTCAGCAGTTGATTTGGTGATTCTAAGTTTGTGCCTTGACGGGGTAAAGGATGATGGAGCTTGACAGAGATGCCTGCCAAAGTGATGAGTCCACCGTGGAAGATGTAGATGACGCCACGTATCCACTTGGTGACCTGAGTTGTGGAGATGTTCAGCTGTGGACTACTGGTGAGATTCTCTCGTCTGCATTTTTTGGTCTCGTCTTGTCCTTGTGAACACGAATGTATAATCTGTAGCATACTAAGCGCCCCAAACTCACCCGAAAAATGGGAGTCTGCCCCAGTCCATTGTCTGTTCACTATGACATGTGACAGTGTTGAACCTGTGACAGGATATTATTTTATTCGTGTCCTGAAAATTACGTGTTTACCTAGTACGTAAATTGTTGACATTATAAACCTCCGCCCTCAACCCTTGCTTTGCCTATGTGCAGATCCATGTAAGAGTGGCAGTGCCACCATGGTGTACAGGCCTATGGAAGGTGAAATAATCCATGGAATTTGCGAACTGCTGACAATGAGACAGGCGAGTGTTACTGAGGCGATGGAGTCATTCCTGCATGTTATCAGGACACAGTTACACAAGGCATCAGGTTTTGGAAATCTGCTACGCCAGGAAGTGTGCCAGCTGAAGGCATGCAACGGTGCTGGCATTTCGCAAGCATGGCAACAAGTGCTCTCCAGCATCTCAACAGCTTTTCCCAAAGTGAAGCTCTGTATAAGACACAATATGACACAGCTAAAAACAACTGAAGCAGTGACATGTGAATGTTGCACGAGCATGCGTGTGTGTGTGTGTATGTGTGTGTGTGTGTGTATGTGTGTGTGTGTGTGTATATGTGTGCGGCTATGCCAAAGCCTAGAGTGTTCATTTGCGGCTGTGGCAGGGACTTCAGCGTCGGCCCAATGATCTAACTCGCCACAGGAAATACTGCAACTCCTGATGCTATCATTGCACGGAGCAATGGGCATCCAAAGGTCCAAAGGTGTATGTGTGTTGTGCATTGGTGGTCGATTCACATGGCTTTGCCAGTTGTGTGGATTATACAGTTATCTGGTGCAAGTCTTGATCTGTCTCATCCAGATCTTGTTCGCTATCGTTGCTATAAGAGAAAATCTGTGGGTGCACATCCAGTGCATTTGCAGACGTGCGTTCTTCTCTTGCGACGGGCGTATGCATGGTATGTGTGTGCGTGCGTGTGTGTGTATGCTTCTGTGATAAGTGGATCAAGCAGTATACAGGGTATTCACAGGTATTCGCCTTGAGCGCATTTGCCGATAGTGTGACTTTCGTCGCAGAGAACTTTGCTCAGTCGGTCAGGCGACTCGGCCTTACGTTTCCTGAAGGCAATGTGTTCAGAACACAGTTACTTCAAGTATGAACAGCTATGAACAGTTAAGAAATGACAAATATTGTGTGTAGTTCATGGACAATAATGTGAAACACTTTGAATGCAGAAGAATGAGGATAGTGGCATCAAATGCTGCATGGATTCTGTTTGATATGCTACTTTTTTCCCTTCCATGGAAAGGTGAGTACATCCTCGAACTTCATCTCGAAACTTCACACAAACCTAGAATGGAACTTGGACAACATGAAGGGGCCATGGGCATGGTGTGTTCAGTGGAGAACTATTCCGAAAACAGGGTGTCATTCGCACTTACTCAATTCAAATTTGAGCACATTTCGTGAATAACTTACCTTGACATTCCGTCGTCTCCAAAGCAGTGAACTTCCCAAAAAAAATTAAAAGCCACGGCTCAACCTAAGGTAATGCGTGGTACGTATCAGAAACAACCAGCTTTCGCTCTGGAGATCCAGAATAGGCCTCGAAGCATAGCAAAAACAATTGAGAAAAAGAAGATGACGACGACGTTTCAATCACGCATCAAATTTCGCGGGTCGAGTGCAGCAATCCTCGGATCGTGAAATGTGTGGCGTGTCGCCTCCCGGTATTTTACGACTCCCTGGCGAACACATGGTCGTACAGCGCACATAGCTCTTCATTTATCGGCAGGTTGGATTTCACTGCCTTTCACAGTACTGTAAAACGGCTAAGTTTGGCGGGTAAAAACGTCAGCGATTCGGCCGATTTATAAACCAACATGAATTTGCGAGGATTTTACTAGAAAGCAGTGCTTCATGTCCAAAAAGAGTGCATGCATATCGCCAAGAGTATATAACCCCCAAGAGTGTGCAACTGCCTGCACAATCCCTACACAGTGCTGCGACAGCAGAGCTTCACATCACGTAGCATGGTTCAAAAGGTTACGCTGGCATGGCAAACAGTGCAAAGTGACCACAAGAGACTTGAACCCAAAGCAGGGTTGCGTACAACCCTGTATCTATCATGCATAGGGTGCACAAAATGTGTACGGGTTTGTCACGTGATGTGATGAAGTTCTGCCGTCACAGACCCCATAGCTGGAGTTGCACACTCTTGCGGGTTATGTACTCTTGATATCGCATGCTGTGCAGAACGCAAACTTTCGATTGGAGTGACTAAACTTTTCCGAGAACACTCCTTTCGCAAAATTCGCTAAAATTACCCGATGTACAACAGTACATCGGTAAGCCAGGCCAGGCCGACTGGGGTACCCAAGACAACTCTGCTAGGGACCCGGCAAAGCTGGCCTGGAAGTAATGTGTACTGGATACTAATTTACGATGTGGTCAAATGCGTACGGGATCGGCACAGCCCAGCAGCCTGCAGCCACTTTCCACCGCACGCAACACCGGAATCCTGTGTATTTAGTCAACTGGGTTACTTGTGTGGGTAGCCAGCCTGGTCTAAGTTCATTCACATGACGTGAATTGCTCAATCTCCAAAGTGACTGATCTTGTCCCATACAGGTACAGTCCATTCATCGGAAACTGGCCCGCTGGCTTTTGAAAGTCGGATTTGGGCCGAATTGAGGATCAAAAACCCACTTTAAATCTCAAAAATCTGGGTTTTGGATCTGCTTCTCCATACATTTTGCCATGGCATACCTGTCCTAATTTTGTAAAACCTGGCTGAATTTCTATTTCCCTGTTCTTGGACTTTTCTGGCCTCAAATGTGGCAAGGAGTAATTGCACGGGTCACAGAATGCAGGATGTACTGTTGTTTTCACGATATCTAGAACTATGTGAGACACCAAAAAGTTAGGGTGCCAGTTTCCAATGAATGGACTGTAGTCTACGTCGTTTTCACTTTCCTCTCACGAATTCGTTTCAGTGACTGGTGCAGTAACATGGTCTGTGTGCTCCATAAAAAGAAAGAACTCTTACTAGCTACACATGCCATGCTTTCAAAATTTACCGTATGACCCCAATCAATAGGAATTTAAAATATAATATTTTTACTGAAATGAGAGCGGTGTCATGTAATGAGCGGCCTTCTGGCCAAGGAGATCGGCGAGAGAATCAGGTCAGTTGTAGGTCTGCACGTAGTACAGGCTAGTAGCTGAATGATGGAAGAACCTACGTTCACGGAGTGCGTATCTATTACGATAAAAAACAGTGAGCAGGGGCTTCCAAGCCACGGGAGGGAAGGACACTGCTCACCATGCCTGTGCATGATAATAATTCCATTTCATAAATCAGCGAAGTGGAACGAGAGACCTTACCAGTATGCAGCAACCACCACCGCGATCTTCATGAAGGAATCCTTCAAAGTCTCCTTGGGGGTTGGCATCTTGATCACTGTGTCCGGCTCACGTTCTTTCTCGGCAGCCATCAATACTACGAAGTGAGCAAGCAAATGAAGAGACTGACCAATCACTTCAGTAAGCCGAGTAGCTACGTAGCTAGCAAGGTTGATCTTGTAAATAAAAGTCTTGCTGCATGCACTCGAAGGAAAATCGAATCATACATGAATAAAAAAGTTAGTGAAAAAGAATTAAAAAAACTGAAAAGTGTGCTACTGCTAGCGTTAGCGCTAGCGCTAGCTAGATACGCGCTAGTACGAGTAGTATAGTACAGTGCATGCTAGCTCGGTGGTAGGCTGGCAGGCTGTGGCAGCGCGCTATGATGATCATGCATGATGCACGATGCATCGATGATTGATGCGCGACGTGCGTACGCGCGTGCACGTGGCCACGTGCACGACTGCACGTGAGTCTACGTCACTCCTCCACGTGAAGCCTTTTCTTGAAAAAAAAACAACAATGCGGCGAATGGCAACAGCAACGTCAACCAGTTACCGGTACCTGCAGTGCAGAGGCCGGTGGCGGAACAGGTACATGTATTGTAGGTCTACGGGTCCCGGAATGGTGTTGGTCAGGCACCCGGGTACCCAGCTACCAGGCCAGGCTAGGCCCAGACAGAGTCTGCATGCTCCGCTATATAGCCTCGATAATAGACCCTTTGCACAATAAGCGAGAGGGGTCGAGACGGGGCATGCTGTGCACGCGCTGCACACTTGGCATGCAACCAGCATGCATGGTTTGCTGCAGGACGTGATCAAGTTAGTTTCCTGTGACAGGCTGTGTTTTCACGGTCCTGACGCGTTCATGTATGTACTTCCCAGCCTTTTTCATTTGAAGTTTTTTTAGTTCTGAAGGAAGAAGTTCCAAAATACTTTCCAAGGACCACTGTTGGGTTCTTGTTTGCAGCAACCGTCATCCCTAGTGGCTAGTCTAAGAAACCCACTTGTCTTTCCATGCATTCCCTGGCTATGCTGGCATCCCACACTCTTGAATCCTCGCTATCTGGCGAGAAGAGGGCCGCAGTTTGCTGCGACATCGTTCACAGTGTTGTGCTCGGAACACTTTGTCGATGACGACTTTCATCCTTGCTTTTGCGAAGACGCTGAACGCCCTGCCAAGAGACTCTGGAGCCTGAGAAAAAGGCATGAACCATCCCTGTCTTTGCAAGGAAGATCGACTGCTTGCTGGCGCTTCTCGAGATGCTGATGTTGAAGTGCAGAGCGACGCAGCCTCATCGCTCAGGTGTGCGGAGAAAGTCATCTGAGTTCGAGCTGTGGCTGTGTGCACGATATGACAGACTTTCACATTATGCACATAGCCACCAAAGTAAAACTCATGGACACTATCCACGGGCTTCTTCACTAGTACTACTCCATCAGCTCCCTAGCCCTCTTCACTGTCGTCGGCGACTTGCCCCTGCGTTGGAGATGAGCACGCATGGTGTGGCACTCACTCTGGGAAACAGAAGTTCATCACTCATCCACTCGGACGCATGACAAAGTTGGGCATGATGAAGGTACACTCGAGGAAGACTGGTGCCCCTCTTAGTTCTAGGAGCATCAGGGTTCTGCATAGAGAAGCGTTCTCTACATCGACAGAGGAGAGAAGGTAGAGAAAATAAAAATAAATTTCAATCTACAGTAATCCGAAATATCCACTGACTGCGGAAAACTTACCGCTCCAATAACTCCTTCTTTTTCAAGACAGATACGCACCCTCATTCAGCAGAAAACTGTTCAGTTCCTTCACAGACCATTCTTTATTTGACAGCTCCTCCACGGGTTCCACAGCCATCGATGGCAAACCACTCGACACTCTCTCCTCCATCTCCAAAATGGAAAAATACAGTGTTTCACCATGCTCAACAACTGATACTCTGCACAAAAATCGAAGAGGATGCCCCGTCTCGGATCACGTGACCGTTATTGTGCAAAGGGTCTATTATCCCGATATTTTGCTCCATTTTGCTCCGGAAAAACGTGTATTTCATTCACTTCCCGTACAATCGATAATCCCGTACAACGTTTCATAAAAATCGCAGGTTCGGTTTCTCAACACGGGTTTCCACGCACGTGTTCCTGAGTTTTCCAAAATCATGTCAATCCACAGTGAATCGCAGTGATATTTCGGTGACATGATCTCATCCTGGGCAGTACAGTGTATCCTGCTGAACGGGCAAGAAACAAGGAAATCCAAGTATCAGGCATCGATTTTACCCAACATCTCGATATTTTGCTCCGATTTTGCCGGCAATTTCCGCTCTTTCAATTCTTCGATATTTTGCCGAAAGAATTGCCGGCAGGATCTGTCTGGGCCTAACTCAGGCCAGGGAGTAGGGGTGTGCGGACATGTCACTAGTAATGCTCGAAAAGGTGGCAGATTCTGCTCGCACAGCCTCGCAGTGAAATTGGCAGAACCATACAAACCTTATGGCGGGCAATTCCTCGAATTCTGCTCCATTTCTTTATCCACATACCAAACATGCATAAAACTTACCAGAAAAAGTACCGAATTCTCCCAATTTTTCTGCCGGCATTATCCGCATATGCCTACCAGGGAGGGGTATACCGGTACGACTCGTACTGACTACCACTACCAGCAAGAGTACAATAAACCTTCATGTTTTCGGATTTTGACAGCAATAAACCTTCATGTACTCTTGCTATACTAGCCCTTGCCCCTTGGCGGATTATACCGGCATAATATTTGGCATAATCTTGGGATTTCGTCAAAAAATTATGCTCCGCATAATATACGGCTTCCAACGTGTAAGGTCGGCATAATCTTTCGGTTTAGACAACAATTATGCTTAGGGCATGGCCGTGTGTGTATGCGTGGTTTCTCAATCCTCTATGTACAGCGTGAATACATAGTGGAACCGAGCATAATTCAGCATATTTTGTTGGCATAATTGTGGCGTAATCAAAAGCAAGGGCAGATGCTCAATGGCAATGAGGCTGTTATACATGTATATACACCTGCTATTGAAGGACCATACATGTACATGATGTAGTGCTTCTTGTCGATTTGGAATACTATTTTAGCAGTTATCAGTTGTCTGAAGATTGCCATCTGGCATGAAACTATTAGTTAAAAACAATCCAGACGCGTGGTACTGTACTCTGTGACTCGTGTGTAAAAGAAAAGTAAATTATCGTATCCGTTCCCGAAGGGAACTCACGACGGCCGCTAACACCCGATAAACCCTAGCGGCAGATGCAGCGCCTAACGGTGGGGGTGAGTGGGCAAGTCTCACAACCACTGGCACAAGTGCCGAAAACGACCCCATTAGCTGCATCCATGTACCCCTTGTGCCTGGCCACAAGTTCCCAGTTGACTGTGGGTAGCAGCACGGCTGGAAAAACCGCTCCCAGGCAGGACTTGAACCAGGTACCTCTCGTATCTCAATCATGGTCTTTGACCAACCCACTGTGCCTGCCTGGTCTCGTGTGTAGCAACCACTATAGTACACATGTAGGACATCTCCCAAATATTCCGAGCAGCGTTTGCTTGTGAGTTTGGTATTCCTCTTGCATAATATTACTGTCTTGTAGTTGTACTTCCCGGGACAAAGCTCCCAGTCCACATCATGACAATGGTCTGAGTCCTTTTTTCATGACGATTATCTGCTTCTTTTTTTTGTCTTTTTGGTGAAGCATATACATGTACATGTCAAAGCATACATGCAATTGGCTGTTTTCTCGAGCATCCGCTAGAGCATAATCTGGTCATTTCCAGAGCATAATCCGCGTACCCCGTATCCACCAAAGACCTTTTTTTAAGTACCTGGACCTCGAGGCATGTACATGATTGTATGTCCGGATTCCTGGCCAGTACTGTTACTGTTCATATGCACCTCTTGCTCTACACAAATACACAAGTGTGGCTTCCTCCATAATCAAATAATTACAAACAAGGCCGGTCTGGGCAGCTCGAGGTAGAGTGCTCAATGCAGGGAGTAGTACAAAACGGTATTGTACTACTCCCTGGCTCAATGTTAATTAAGTCTCTCGCATTTCAGCGATCATCAGACAGCAGCATTCACTATCGAATCCTCTACGAGCAGGCCTAGATATTTGATGCTAGTGTGGAATGCAGACGTTGCATTGGGACAGTGGTATTGAGTTGTTTGTGCCCTCCCTCCCCCCCCCCCTCCATCCGTTAACTCTTACAAACAACTCAATACCACTGTCCCAATGCCACGTCTCAGTAGTAGAGAGAGAGGGAGGGAGGGGGGGAGAGAGAGAGAGAGAGAGAGAGAGAGAGAGAGAGAGAGAGAGAGAGAGAGAGAGAGAGAGAGAGAGAGAGAGAGAGAGAGAGAGAAGGAAAGAGAGAGAGAGAGAGAGAGAGAGAGAGAGAGAGAGAGAGAGAGAGAGAGAGAGAAAGAGAGAGAGAGAGAGAGAGAGAGAGAGAGAGAGAAAGAAGAGAGAAAGAGAGAGAGGTAGAGAGGGAGGGAGAGAGAGAGGGGGGGGGGGGGGCAACGCGAGACCGAGAGAAAAGAAGAGCATACATGTCGAACAAGTAACACAGTTGCGTGATGTCTGCGGCCTTCATCCTATTCATGGCTATATTAGAAAAAAAGAGAGGACAATTAAAAAAAGGAAGAAATGCGAAGGAAGGAGAAGATCATGCGAAATCTCACCGGGCATCGAACCGAGGAAAAATAGAAAAATAGCAACAGCTTCCGGAAGTGTGGTGATAATTGGGCTGGGCACGGAGCATTTCCCCGTACATGTATCTAGAAGACAACGTGAACAATCACAGGGGATTAGTAGGGAGTTACGGGGATTAGTAGCAACTCAATTATTTCACCAATATCAAAGACCGGACCAATGAGTCTGTCAATTCTCTCTCTCTCTCTCGTTGCTGCTGATCGTGACAGGTATAGGCGCTAGGCAGCTTGTTTATCAGTGTAGTTAGGTTTATTTTAATTCTATTAAATTTTTGATGCTGCTGCCTTATGACACACCTGACGCCCCTACGACCAGAATGGTTATGGGTTATACATACATACATACATACATACATACATACATACATACATACATACATACATACATACATACATACATACATACATACATACATACATACATACATACATACATACATACATACATACATACATACATACATGTACATACATACATACATAC